AACAAGATATATAGTTTTTAGATTCAGAAAAAGGGGGGAAGCTGGCTATATATGTGTGTGTGTGTGTGTGTGTACATTGGGTAGAGGCGCGGGTTAGAGGGTGGGAGGAATGATTGGCACAGGTTCTCCAAAAGTAACATAAAAAAACACACTACAGACATTATTGCAGGATTGGTGGATTAACAGTTAGAAGTCTTACTGGGGAGTTCTTGATCTCTTGGAGAAATTCTGATAGTGCTGAATCAGCTTGTTGTCTTATCTCATGGCTTGAATCACTTAACATATTAAACAAGCCTGATATTTATAAGCAAACTGTAAGTTCATATCCAATTACCGGACAAGATTTGAAATGAAGAAGCATATAATTTTTACTATGAAAAACAATTACCATCAAGAAAATCAGGAAGAAATCCCAGCATATCAATATCTGGAACACTGTCTAAGACAGTGATCCATCCAACCAAAAACTGGCGGACATAGGGATTTAGGACATTCATACGCTCCCTCAACAATGGTATAAATTCTTCAATGCTGCCGAAGGGAAAGAAACAGACAAACAAAATTAAATGTAAATGTTGTATTATGTCTTGAGAGTCACAAATCCAGATCAAGAATATTACGCACCTGAATTGATCACTTTCAGTGACAATATCCTGCTTCAGTATATAAAAAGAATTAATATAGAAAAAATAAATGTCTATCTTGAAGACTATCAATTGAAAAAAACCAAAGACCCTTGCTTTCGATTTTCCTTTCTGTAGATGAGGAAGGAGGTTAAATTACCTTTACAAGCCGATCTAAAAGATGAGCAGCACTTTGTACGTTAGCATCTGAGTCTGCTGAAAGCTTACACAAGGCATCAAATATCTGATTAAAGAATATGATAAAATCTCCTCTTACAACCTGAGAACCAGAAAAATAAAACAAAATTATATCAAGCCCAAGTCAGGGAAACAGAATAATAAATTAATAAGTCAGCCACTTAATCCGCTCACCTTTGCAATGTTATATAGAGCTTCACAAGCATAATAACGAACTCTGCTATCTTGGTCAGAAAAGGAATTAAGCACAGGAGGCACAATTTGCTGGCAAGATAAATCAGAAGCAAAATAAATACTCAATACCAATAAAGAAGAATTTGGCATTTAATTGAGTCAGAAATGTATATAAATAGCTTTAAAACTAGTACTTTCCAGAAGGAAAGGAGCTAAACTTCGAGATGGACAGCTTAATATAGCTGACATGGGACCATTCTACATTCTCATAAGCCGGCAATCAACTCAGTTAAGGGATGCACAAAGGGAACTTTCAAAAGGATTACAAGTTTACAACATTGCATAAAGTGTTGGCATCTCTTACATGTCCAATATGATTTAATTCGTAAGTTACAAATATTTCTAAATGACTCACTTCATAATTATGAACGGAATTGCTCCCTCAATGTAATGCCTCATTTGTAACTACATGACTGTTTTCTTAATAAAACCTATGTAAATTTAAAATTAAATATCACCTTCCCAAAAATTTAGCCCTAGATCTCCAAATAAAATCAGAGAGGATGATTTCATAAGCCATTTAAACTTATTTAAGAAAAAACCAAGATTGATATTGGTTTACAAGCCAAGGCATAAGTACAATCTGCAAAGCAAAAAGTCATAGAAGGAAACTAACTTCAAATTCTGTGTGTCAGATAATGAGACACCGTACACAGTGGGCCCATAAAACATTATGTATATGTTGGAATTCCATCGCCAGGAAAATAAAAAACTTTAACATCTTATCGGATCAGTCTTCACTTCCACCTATTGGAACACACTACAGCAACATTATTCTGGGTAAAAGGTCAGTGTTTTAGTCATCTAGAGTGAGAGCTTAGCACATTGTGCTAGTTTTAACTAGCAAAACTAAGCATCCTATTTGTAGCCCTTGCTATATACTACCTCATGAAGGTTAACTGCACACGTAACTACCAAAATTCAAACCAACCTGGCCACAATACGTTAAAGATTTATACAAAAACTTGATTTCTAAAGAAATAAATAAATAACGCCTTACCTCAAGATGTTGAGCCGCTTCACTGGTCAAACCAACTGTTGCAGCAGCTAATCCTATCAATCCTCCCTATGCAACAAAAAGAATCAAAATTCGCGCATCTGAAGAGAGAAACTTAATCAACATGGAAAAATAGAGCCACGCAAATTGAACTTCCAACTAGTCTGCCAAATTAAATAACTTATAAAGCAACCCACTGGCAAACATTCACACCAATACCTTCCGGTGATTCGCTTGTGGCGAATTAGTGAATTCCGTAGTGAGCAAATTGATCACCGCCGTAATCTTATCGTGATCCCCAGCCGTTGTGAGCTGTTTCACAATTCCCTCAACCTATACATAAACGCCCACACATATAGAATTCAATTGAAGATCTAATTACAACCACTCGAAACTAACAAAAATGAATCGGTGCAAGAAAGAAAGACCTCAAGCGCGGCATTCTTGCGCTTTTCATAGAGCTTGTCCGCGAGGTTGCGGAGGACAGACGCGGGAATCACTGAAAGAGCGTCGGCCATGTCAAACCCTAGGAATTATAATTTCTGGTGTAATTGAATTCACCGATTGAAAGAAAATGAATTCGGATGTCAAATTCGTTTCCGGATCTTCTCCTGTTCCAATCGGAACATTTCTCTAGGGTTTTCGTCGGAATTGAAAATTCGGGAATTTGAAGACTCGGTAGGAAAATCAGATCTGCAGAAATTGGGAATGAATCGGAAATTGAGAAAAATGTAAACACAAATTCTACGGAAGTTTTCCTTCCCTTTTCTTTTTTCTCTTTTCTTTTTTTTTTTTTTTTTTTTTTTTTTTTTTTTTGATTTGGGGCTCGTCTGTGCTTTTCTTTCTAGTCTCAGTCGTGGCAGTCCTTTCTCTCTCTGTATTGACTATTGAGCGATCCCGGAAGGGGCTACTAACAGAGGTTGGAAGTCTGGTTGTTATGGAAAGACGGATATACCCTCACATTTTATAATGGCTTAATTATGTACATGCCCCCTGTGTTTTCCAACTTATCTCAGATTACCACCTGTGTTTGCAAACGGCTCAAAGTACTCCCCAATGTTTAAAAAACCGTCTCACGTTACCCTTTCCGTCAGTTTTTTTGAAGTTCCGTTACGAACATTATTGTTCATCCCTCCCAAAATTCCATAACAGCAGCTCATCCCCTTTGTTACTGTTCATCGCTTATTTACTCTCCAAAACTCAGAAATTTCTCATAACCAACACAACTAGCAGCAAGAACAGCTCGAGAGGTTGAAAAACCATACCTGGATTGAAGCAAATGGTGCTCGGAATCGCTCGAACGAGTGATGGAGATTTTGGGTAAAAATCGGCCAATTTCTTGCTTTTTTCGGCGATCCAGACGGCGGTTGGTAGCAGATAAGATGTGAGGGTAGTAGAGGACAACGTGCTGGTTCTTTTGATACCCATGTCGTCGCTTGGGGTGGCCGGAGGAGGAGTTGACAGCCCAAAAACTAGTCAGATGAACAGTAACAAAGGGAATGGGTTGCTGTTCTAGAATTTTGGGGGGATGAACAGTCACGTTCGTAACGAACTTCAAAAAAACTGATGGAAAGGGTAACGTGAGACGCTTTTTTAAACGTTGGGGGGTACTTTGAGCCGTTTGCAAACACAGGTAGTAATCTGAGATAAGTTGGAAAGCACAGGGGGCATGTACATAATTAAGCCTTTTATAATTATAGATCAGTTTGAAAATGTCTATATTTGGTATCTGGACTAGTTCATAAAATAAAAAAATTTATTCTAAATCTGCCCAACCCCACGACTTAATCTAGCTTGATCTGTTATGTTCTCGATTGTAAGTTATAATTCATAACCACGATTTGAGTAGTCAGATCAGATTTCAATTGAACTTAGACTCCAAAATATTGTAACATACTTAGAACCCACTTTATAATCATTTCAATTTTAGTTTTTAATTTTTAATTTTTGTACTAGAGTATGAAGGAAAATGAAGAGATGGACACATTACCCTAATTAACTGGCCTAACCCAAATTTATCATACTTTCCAGTTTGATCGAAATAGTTCAATCATTCTTCATAAAAAAAAAAATATAGTTCAATTATTAAGATAAGCTGACCCATAAATCTACTTGCAATTATTATTCAAATCAATCTTAAGATAAGATGACGATGCCTCACCATTCCGACTGTAGTCTTTTCTTTTGGGGGCCATCTAATCCTAGTAGTTTTTTTTGTCATATCACAAGTCATCTAATCTCAGCAGTGATACCATTTATAGTCTTTTTTCTTTCTAAAATGCCGCTTGCTTTCAAACCAAAAACAAAAAAGAAACCAAGGAAAAAGGTTTCACATTTTTCATCTTAAATTAAATGAGCAAGTCCATTAAAATAAAAATAAATAAAAAACAGAAACGACCAAAGACTATTTAGCTCCTTGGTAGCTGGGTGGAACGAGCCCCTTTAGCAGGCACAAAGTTTTGATGCAAGGCCACACGCATAACATCCATAAGTCGCTCTATAGTGAGGGCCTTATCTAGGCCCTTAGATGAGGCCCTATTTCTTAACTGTTAAATCAAACTAACCAATGTGATCCAATAGGTAACCAATTTGATCTAATAGTTGAGAGATAGGCTTCATCTAAGGGACTATAGAATTTCACGCACAATGCAACAATGCTGATAAGCCCATTATCAGACATTGTTCCCAGATCAACTTAGATGAGCTGGCTACAACTACTCTGGACAAAGACGAAACTAGCCTATTATCTCATCCTTTTCCAAATAAATCCAGTCGACACTCCATCCAGTCAACACTCCCTTTGAATAATAGAGTCTGTTTTGCAAAAAACTACATGACGCATTCAATAATGAAATTATAACATTTTTTTTATTTTTGGAAAATGTTATATATGTAACAAGAAAAATTTCATACAACACCATATATGGCACGATGAACAGTAAAAAGGATCAAAAACGATCAAAAGAAAAGGGACTTATCAGTGACTCTTCGAGTTCTCGAAAGCCATGGAAAACAGCTTCAGTCTGGCTCTGTGGAAGGGCTAACCTCCGTACCTCAGTCATATACCTGGAATTCCAAGTTCAAAAGGAACAAATCATCATACACTCAAACTCTTAAGAATGTTTAGGGAAGGAAATGCTCAGATTGGATTATTTTTTCTGCATTTCTTTTGTTGTATCGGAGGAACCATCAACTTGTGAGGTCCCCAATTCTTTTCTCCTAGTGCATACAAAGCATGAAAAGATATACACATCACAGTTCACATTTGAAATCCTAGACTTGTCCACATGACTAAATGGAAGTGGTGAGACACTGATCACCACCTGCACGTTATTGATTCATTGGAAAACAAATGACAGGGTATATTTGATTGTATAATGGGGTATATTTCATCCATCACAAAAGGGTTTCATGCAACATCTAGAATGATCCAGAGTTTTTTAAGCCTTGATCTTGGCACAAAGAAGATTATAAAACAGCAAAGGTACAAAATCTGCATATTGGATCAGGTATTTTACAGACGTAAATATTAAATTGAGCATAAAGCAAACAAAGAACGCTGTTTGTCGCAAACAAGAACAATAAATAAATAAGCTCACCTGTTTGCTGCACTTGAGATCTTATCTCGAACCCCTTGGTTAATCCCTGATGTTTGCTCCAGTGAGAATGTTCCACCTAGAATTAAAGAAGCTCCAGTAGCACTTGTACCCATTCTTTGTGCAAAAACAGACATTGCCCACTCTCGAAGTACAACTAATACTGATCGTAGAAGGCGTAACCTAAGGTTTGGTGATGGCAAAATAGCACCACTCGTCAACAATTGGTCATAAGTGTTCAATACGGGCTCAATTGCACCCTTGCAAGCAGCAAGAAGAGCCCTTGCCACATCTTCATCTCCAACAGATTCAACCCCTGATTCCAGTCTTTCCTACAAAGAGATGAAATAAAATAAATTGATCAGGTAACAATTTTTTTCTTCTTCCGGTTTTTAAGTATTTTTAAAGCTGCTTATTCGTGTGTGTGTGTGTGCGCGCATACAGATATGTAAATATATAGATATAATATCAATATAGGTAGTGTGCATGTGTCTCCAATATACCAGTGCAGCTTTCTCGAGGTGGAGACACAGTGTGTCTAAGGGCAAACCAGCTCCATCTCCAGGATAAATGTGAGAACCAACTCTCTTCAATACCGAACAAGCTTCAGCAATGCCACCCCTTGAAAGAGCTTGATCAATTAATCTGGCCCAAGTATCTCTTACAACGCTACTATCAGCATCACCAGAATAGTATGCAAAGTATAGCATTTCTAGACATATCTGAGCACAGCAGAGAACAAGAAAAAATTCAGTTATAAATAAAAACTAGAATTTCCCTAATTTTGTTTTGTAGTAAGGTTCAATGAGAAATAATAGCAATCACTGGCAAGCAAGAGAAATAAAGTACCTCCCAAAGTTCAAATGGAAGAGCATATTCATTGTATAGTTGAGTTATACTCTTTAAATCTAATGACAGCTCTTTGGCCTTTTCTCGTGCAATATTTGCAAGATTGGCATCACCACTCAAAGTGCTATTGGGAACAGTTCCACTTTGGACAGGCTCAGATGCACCAGGCAAAGCTTCTATCCTGGAAGCGGAAGCTTCAAGTTCCTCCTTGATCTTTATCTGAAAACGAAGGACAGCAAGTTTTCCTTCCAACAAATCTAACAACCCATCATCATACGCACCTCTGGTAGAACCTACCAGGCCTTCACTGTTACTTGCATTTTTAGCCTGTAGGACTGCATTACTTAGGTAATGATACCTGAAATTGATAAAAACCCATTATTACCAGTGAAGGGGATCAGGAATTTTTTTCTACAGACGAGTTTGACTAATATCCAGCCTTGGATGGGTTGGGTTTATTTTTTAAGACGACAAGTTCAAAAATCCTTTTGAGTAGATGAGGAACCTTAGGTCAACCTGACTTTAGAAAGCATTTCTTATAAAGCGACTCAAACCAAGAATGTTATAATCAGATATTGATATCAAATCTATATAAGAATTAGTTTAAATGTGGTCAAATTAATATAGAATTCAGTAAATATAGACATTACTATGGAAAGATCGTATGTGGTCAGGATTATTAAATGAGGCACTAGAAACTCCCAAACGAAACTAGAATATTGGTAGGTGATAATGGAATTCATAAAAATGTCAAAGACATCCCAACCCAAGCACGAAGAGAAACCGGACAAAAAGAAACCCCACAAATTATTTAGCTAGATTTTCTGGTAAAATAAAATCATGGTAAGGTGTTTGAAAAAGGATCCCCCAAAACTCCACAAAAAATTAAGGAAGACTGAATGAACGTATGCTAACCTTTGATCTAGAGTAGGAACATCCCCAGAATCGGTTGAACGCCTCTCTGCCAGTCTTAGTAATACATGAGCTGCAAGCAGATGCTGCCTCTTCAAGACATAATATCGTGCCAACAGATCAGAATATTTGGCTTGATTGGATGGGATGGCTGTTCCTGAGTAACTAATTGGAGAAGCGGCCGATGTGACCGCAGAAACAGCCCGAACCTACAAACATGGAAGAAACATCAGGATAACAAAAGAGGGAAAAGCATTAGCACCAAGGAAAGATATTGCTTAAGACCAGATGGAAGACGTTCCAGCTCTTTTTTGAAAGCATTTGTCCGATCATATTTTGAAGCATACTAAGAGAATCTTGACAATTGAAATTCATCATATCAGATCCAAAACAAAATAACATTAAAAAAATCACCTCTTGTATAGGTTCACAGCCAGCACTTTGTAGGAAAGGCACCAAATCAGGACCTCCATACTCCAGCAACTCATTCTCAAGGCCCATATCAATCATAGCACGGTACAAGTACTTGTGAAATAATCTGTCAGGAGATTGGATGCCCAGCTGAACAATCTGGGATATATATTTGTTCCGAGAGACCGGATCAAGGGCAGATCGCATAGCAGCAGGCTTAAGAGGAGAACCAAACTCCCTCTGTGAAGGCTCACCTTTTAGAGAACGCAATGCACTGATGACAATCTCATAGCACTGTTCACGTTGAGCACGTGCATGCTGTCGGACTGCCGCATCAATTTGGTCGCTAAAAGCATCACCTGCGGGGTCAAGAGCCTGTGCCTTTTGTAAAGGCAAGCGAACCACGGCTTCATAAAACCTGCAACATACTCATTTTTAGGTTTTACACATAACGACCTAACTTACTAAGCATATACAACCACGGCTTCATAACACCTGCAACATACTCATTTTTAGGTTTTACACATAACGACCTAACTTACTAAGCATATACAACCCATCAAAACAGCACCGAGCTTAACCATAAGAAACTGACCTTAAATCCTCAAATCGTTTGCAGACAGTTCGTAAATCAGCAGATTCTGGAACTTTACTCAAAAAATTGAAGGCCTCTCTAGCAAGATTCTCCTTCTCCTCAGGATCTGGAATCACAGCAGCTCTCTCAAGACACTCCACAGCTAGAAAAAACTTGTAATCAGACTCCTTATAATAGCTTGGACAGCCTTCCCGTAATCTCCCACTAATATCATTTACTGCCCCCCTGCCATCAGGACCAGTATAATACTGGAGCAATGAATGACATGAAAATAATGATATTTCAGACTGAAGTCAGATAAAAAAAAACTGATAAACAAGTGAGGGGAAAAAGGGAAAGTTTGCTAAATTTCTAAAAAGTGAACTTCCTCAATGTTAAACTAAAATTGCATTACCTCCATCAGAGCAGATATGAGCCTTGTAGCGAGGTGGTCACCCTCCTCAGAACAAACTAACTGATGAAATGTCATTTGAACTAATGCCTGTCGCAGATTAGCATCAAACCCCTGAACCAAGCGTGTTACATGGTGCTGTGAAAGAAGCTGGAGCAGAAACAGGGCTTCACTGGATCTAAGAAGCAACTGCCTGATGCATTCCATTGCCCTCACCTGTCAAATTTTTAAAAAAACAAAAATGAGGAATAGAAATGAAAAAGTACAGTATGAACACCTTTCTGAACTATAGAAATAAGCAAACTACCTCCATGGCTGCCAATTCAGCAGGACTATATGGTAATCTCTGCCTTTTATTAGACATACCACCATCATTAGACTCAGTGTTCCGCGAGTAAGCACCAAATAAGTTTCTCACCATACTGTGGTCACCACCACCTAATTCTGAACCAATTCCATAAAGGATAGAACCAGTCACATCTCCTAAACCAGCAACACAGCCATAAAGTCCCCTCCTTTGGTTCCTTCTAGACTTCAGAAACTTCTCTAGAGAGCGAATTTTGTTTTCAAGCACTTGCATAGCCTCAAGAGAGAGTCTGCATACGACTAACCCATTTTCTGACATTGCATCTGCAGAACCTAAACCACCTTTTACAACCACAACAGGAAGTTCCCATATGGGAAATAGCAACCTTGCAGAACACAAACAGAGCCCTTCATGTGCACCTGAAAACACAGGCTCAGCCTCCTGAACAACCTGCCCCATGCTGAATCCCCCAGCAGCTGTTCTAGTGTTTGCTAATGCATTGCTGCCCTCAAGTTGTGGCATTCCGACAAGTCTTGGGTCCTCAAAAGCTTCAGCTGCCTTCTGAGAAACAACATTACTTATGAGAGTTTCTGAATGGACTATCCTAGCTGCTAGCATTAAACACATTGCAGCTGCCTCACCAGCTCCAAAACGATTGAAGAATTCTTCTACGATTGACCTGGGGATGTTAGTCTCAAACAACCTCCTCAGAATGTCCACAGGCCTATTGAAAACTATTTCCATCATGCCCATAGTACTGAAAACAACAACTCGTCTCCTTGGCAGTATATGTTGGATTGAAAGGTCACCTCTGGCCCAAAGTTTTCCAGTTACCTTTTCACAGGACTCATCAGAGCCTTCATAACCACCATATTCAATTTCTGAATACAGAGACTGTACAGTGGTTGCAGTATCAGGCATGGGGAAAACATCTGCTACAAAAAGCATCCGTCCTTCAACTGGTAAAGAAGATACAGATTCCCGTAATGCTCGAGAACTCCTTGAACTTGTCCCCGAAGTACTTGACCCAGCTGATTGTGTGCTTGAATCACGGCTCACAAGAAGAAGAGAAGCCATAGTTGGTGGAGATGAATCAGAAAGGACAAGAGTTCCAGCAGAATAATAAGCTGCCTCAACCTTTAGGGAGAGATCGTCATTCTGAGGTCTACCGGCAAGAGACATGCTTCCAAAGGCAAGTCCACCACCAACCCCTAGTGGAGGAGAAGGCCTAGTTGTCACAACTTTTAAACAGCTAGGTTTATGGTTGGTATTAAACCCACCCAAATTTCCACTAGATGGAGAAGTGGTAAGGTACATCCTTCTGCCATCGGACAAAACAGCAACAAGGTGTAGAGACTTAGATTCCAGGGTAGACAAGGGTGAAATGCAGACTATAGATGACTTTGTAGATCGATTTGGACCTCTAGGTCCAGTAGATTGTCTACCCCCATAATGAGCATCCCTCTGATTTATCAGATTCCTTTCTTCTGCCACTTTTTTCAATGGCCCATCAACATTTTGCCCCACAATAAACACCTGAATTTTCATTTCTTCAGTTCGTGCATACAAGATGTGTCTTTCATTATCAAAAACCATTTCAATGATGGGGTCCACAGCTCCAAACTTAAAAAGATTTGGTACTACCCATCTGAAAAAAACAAAGATATGTTTATGTTAATATGTTATCTTTGAAAAGAATATTCAAATTCAATGTTATAGGTGAAAATTAGAAAATCCACAAGCACAATTATTACTTTGAAGAAAGCAAATTAAGGAAAATAAATAAATAGGATTTTCCCTTAACCTTGAAATAACGCTTCCTAAACCGGCAGTCAGACAAACTTTTCGGCAACGCTTTTGCCAGCCTGATCCAGTTGTATAATGTAGTTCATAAATGTGACCATCACGCCCAGCAAGGAAAATACGACCCTTGTCAGTACACGTGATACATGTCATGGTGATCCCATCAGATGGTACTGTATATTCTGGCAATGGCTGTAGTGAGACTTCTGCATATGGATCTGTCCCATCAGCCCCTCCAGAGCAACATACTCCTACAAGAATTAACTGATAAAAGGCAAAGACCATTAAGAACTACAAACTTCAACCAAGATAATATAAAGTGTTAAAAATTACATGATAGAACCAACTTAAAAAGAAAAACTAGGGGCGAGTATTAAAAAATAAAAAGATACAGCTCAAACAAAATTCAACGAAGTGCAAATACAGAACACCTGAAATTTGCACCTAGTTATGTTACTGAATATTCTATTTTCAAGTTAAATATTCTTCTGGAGAAAAGAGAGCCAATACTGGAGACTTCTGCCCAGCCATGCCCCTGTCATGAGATAGTTTTTTTCCAAGACTCGAACTGCAACCACCAAGTTTCTTAGGGAAGACCCTATCCTTATATTTAGATAATAATGTCTTAGTCCAACCTTTAAAAATGTATCTCAGTATAATTTGAAGCAATGTGCACCCCACTGGTCACAATGTTAAGCAGTCCTCACTACATAAAAAAAGTTCTAAAACAGCAACTATTGTACTTGATTGGCTGAACCAAGATAACAGGAAGTTTTCCTTATTCAACAGCTCCAACAATCAAAGATGTGATTCTTAACTCTTAATAAGTAAGATTACAGATTATTTCTTATTTATTATATAAAAAAGCTTATATTATTCAAAACCTGCTTCATCTTCTATTGCAAATATCACCTCATTTTAACATGGTATCGCTGGCTCATCATTTTAGGTGATGCAGATGTTATTGAAGGGAAATTTTTCTTTTCTTATTTTCCCCTTCTTCATTTACTTCATAAAGGGGTCTCCTTTTATAGCAACAGTGCACTACGGTTGAATTATGCCCCTTCCTTTGGGATATTTCACAAATATACATATAACTTTAAAGGAAAAACTTTAAGAGTATAATCATGAAATGAACTACTCCGTATCTACATGACTCCAAACTCACAACATTAAAAGAATATAAATGAGATAAAGACCAACTTAAATACCTCAACAGGTGTTGCCAAAATCAAAAGATACTGAATAGCTTCAACAAAAACACCAGGTTTAGATTTAGCAAGGCCAACAGCACAAATAGCTTGATCCTCCCCACTATATTCAGGACATTGTCCATCCCTGATGAAGAAAGAATATTAAAGAGCGGCAATGGAAAGCATGTAGAGATGAAAGCCATTAACCAAGGTAAAAAAGCTACAAATATGGTACTAATTAATATGTAACAAATTGCCTACCGGTGTATGGTGTCGTGAATGACTTCCTATATTTGTTTATAAGGTATCATATGTGCCATACATCGGACAGCAATTTGGACACATTTTCCTATATATGTATGTATCTGTCCATATGTATACTATATTCGTATGGTTGCATGAACGCACATGAAGAAAAAGTTAAGAGATGTACAAGAATACAATAAACATTCATAATAATACATCAGAATTCAAACTACATTTATCCAGTTGGTAAGTGTCGTCTACTCTACAATAATTTTAGAAATAATCTAATTAAAATGCTGAAACCAATATATAATGGCGCAAAAACACAACGTGGATCATCTATAGGTAATTTTCTGAGGTCGGAATATCATGTCTTAATGTTAACTCTATCAGAGCTTATTAACAGTTACTCTCATAGATCTCATGGCAGACATTTACTATTTTAATGAAGTCTAAAATAGACTAAAATGATAAATGTACACCAAGTCTCAAACTTTATTTTAGTAAGGCCAAGCAAAGTTACAACCTTTACACTATTATGGTAAGGAAAATATAAATGAAGGAGAAATAAAAACAAAGGAGAGGATAAGGGAAGGGAAGGAAATGATTTTTCTCTCCCTTTGTAAGATAGTAAGTAGTGAGCAATGAGTTAAAGAGAGGGAATGAGAGTAAAGGGTATGCTATTACAAGTAACCCTTATATTCTTCCTTACATACAATGATAGAAAAGTAGCTTAGAAACATTCTCTTCTTTCCCTCCTCCAATCTATCCAATTGGAAGGAGAAGTTTTTCTAGTCTTGGAAGGTTGACCTCTCCCTTCACCTCTCTCCCCTTCTCAATCTCTCAAACCAGACAAAGAAAAATGCCTACATCCTTCGCCTTTGTTCTTCCCCCTTTTTTCCATCCATCCATTTTGACATCCTACCAAAGTCCAATCACTTAGAGAGCACCTATGTAGCAGTTTCTCAGAGCTTTTAACCGAATTTTCAATCGTGTCAAATAAAGTTTATATCCATTTGAACTTCATATTTATGAAAATAATGTTAAAGAAGGAGATCCCTCACACAAGCAGAATGATCATTATCATCGTTAGATGAAATATATGTTGTATCTACCAAGGTATGTCCTCCTCGTGTTTCACTTATTGACTTAGCTTGTTATCTCTATTGTTTTGTAGGTCACTGACTGACAGATATCAATTGTCGTATCTATGAAATGAGAATATCCATAAGCTTAATTATGATCTACACCTTGGAATAAGATAAACTTTTTCTTTCTTTTCACAGTTTTTTATTAGCAATATTATCAAACTAAGACAATAAACTCACCACTTGTCAAAACGCCAGAGAAACAAGGAATTATCTACCGATGCCCATGCCCTACGAATCTCAGGAAATATCCCACATAATGAATTTCCTTCCCCACCAGCTGCATTATATCTTTCAATAAGTACCTGAGGCAACTCCCAAGTATCCACCACCTCAACCAAAGGCGGCCACTGCAATGGAATTAAACATCATCGTAAAGCTTTGAAGAATAGAATTGATTTTAAGTTATATAATATATCTAAACAAAGTTATGATACTACCACAATGTCAGATTATCAAACATCAAGAACATGAAAAGGCACTGCACATGAGCTAAAAATAATCATAGCCTTTTTTTTTAAAGCTTAATATATGAGCCTTACAACTGTAATACATCAGAAAAATACTTTTCTCAAAATTATATTTAAAAAATAATAACATAATATTTTACTAATGTTAAGATCAAGTAATGTTAGGAAGAAGGAGATACTTAACTCATTGAATAACAGAAGATCAAGTGTAATAAATAACTATAAAAGCATTAAGTTTTATCACTACCCAGTAGTACCCTGATAATGCCCATAATTCAATTCAAGGTTATACTAATTATGATTGGAACTTCTGTGAACTCCGAATGCTCAATCCCACACACACACACACACGCACGCACACACACACAAAAAAAACACACACACACACACACAACCACGCGAATAACATAGCAGCAAAGCCAAAATCTTACCAAGAGAAACAATCATCCCAAAACTAACACATTGCAGTCTGAGCCTTATATTTTTCACTTATACCACAAAAATCGTAGCTTTTAATTCACACAGACATGGAAATTACCTCTCTGGGATGAGTAGAATAGGGGTGACTAGCGTATCTGGAAGCTTCTAGGGCTTCTTCAAGATCAAGCTGAGACGCGACTTCTCGGCCAATGCGGTCACTCACGACGAGGCCCGCATTAGTGACATCGCGCATAACGATTTCGTCCTCCCAAGACATGCCGTTGGAAACCCTAGAACTCTGAACAAGAAAATTGCACAAATTGAAACACTGCCTGCAAGATTGAATTGGAGCCGGAAGTCGGTTTTCCCTCCCTTTGTGGAAACCAAACAGGGCAAGTCTTGAATTGGAGAGCACTATTCACACCGCTAAGGTAGAGAGTGTTGGAGTAGAGAGATTTGTATTATAGGGTTTTGGGGAGGCTTTGTTTGTGGCGGGCAAATTAAGCTATTTTTGAAAAAACCGGAGGGGCCGGTTCATTGAACGGCTCGGTTCGTCTGTGTTGAACTAGGATTTATTTGTTTTTAAGACGGCCAAAATAAATAAATAAATAAAAAAGACTACTAATAGAAAAAGCAAGATTTTCATTGACAAAATACCTGGATACTTAGGTTTTAGCAAAAGTGGGGCACGATCCGGATTGAATTGGTTTAACTTCAAAATCACGATCGAATCAATTACAATATAACAATTTGGTTCAGTTAGTTTAGGCCTAAGTCCAATTATCTTTCCTTTTGCATTTTTTCAACATTGTTAGACCAATTACAACAACAAAATTCATAACTTAATACGTACTTTTTTCATTTTCTAGTGTATCAAACCGTCCTAAAACTCAACATGTCATAAAACTTCAAAATTCAATAACTAATATAGCTACAATTCAACATTCATATATAGTTATTTTCTAATTAGAGGACTACACATGTAAAATTAAATATAAATAAGTATACATGTAGATGATCCGGTTCATTTTAGGCTAGTTTACAAAAGCTCAAAATCAAACCAACCCAAATAATATACAGTTCCAATTGGTTTTTAAACCGTTTGAATTTTTCTTGGTCAAAACCAAATCAAACCAAACCAAACTAGTAATTATGAATTGAATCACCTATTTAGTTGGTTCGACCATATTGATGCCCACCCCTAGATTTTACACAACCGGTTTATATATGCTCACACTCCCCCAATTGATATTACACATGTGTTGGTGCTTAAAAAAAGCCTTGCCAAGCGCATGCGAGAGGTCTTTTTATTAATCACGACTAACATCTAGAAAAATACAATTACAAATATATATATATATATAAAGTATTTTAAGTCGTCATGCGATAGGTCTATCCTGACCAAATTTCGTCAACATAGGTCTATCTTGACTAGGTCTATGCCGCCGACAAATCTCACTCCGGGATACGTTTATCCCATCAAAGATTTGTCAGGATAGGTCTACTTGACAAAAAATTTGCAAGATAGGTCTACCCAACAAAAAGAGATAGCTCTATGGCAACAAATATTTGCTGGCAAAGGTCTATCACAACGAATGTTTCGCTAGGCTAAGTCTTCCCGACAAAAAACTCGCGGGTCTTGTATATCCCGACTAATGTTTTGTTGGGCTATGTCTACCCAACAAAACTTTTGACAAGATAGATCTTTCTGATAAAAATTTGTTTGTATCGGGATATGTATATTTCGTCAAAGATTCACAGGATAGGTCTATCCCAAAAAAAACCTTGTTGGGATAGGTAAATATTTTCATGGGGAATGCTAGTAACCTTCTCATTTGGACATTCTCTTTTTTTTGCTTGACATGTGTCATTCTCCTTGCACTTAAAACAATGTCATTAATATATTATTCAAGCTAACTTTTGCTTTCCAAGTTTATCATTATTAAATGTATTCAATTTATCCACACCAAAAAAAAAAATCACAAATTTCTTACCTTTTTATTTTAACGTCAATTTTTTTATTTTAGAAAATGTCTTCTTTAAAAAAAAAAAGAGGAAATGTCCCCTTTTTTTAAAGTCAAGTTTAGACTTTTTTTTTTTTAAGAAAAAGGACATTTCCTCTTTTTTTTTAAAAGAAAATATTTTCTTTAAAAAAAGTAATTGACGTTAAAAAAAATTTAATAAGATTGTAAGAAAGTTGTCAAATCTTTTTGGATAAATTGAATACATTTAATAAGGATAAACTTGAAAAGCAAAAATTAGCTTGTACAATATATTAATGACATTGTTTTAAGTGTAAAGAGAATGACACAGGTCAAACAAAAAATAGAGAAGATTCAAAGGAGAAGGTCAGAGAAAATTGTTAGCATTATCATATTCTCATAGTTAGTTTCCTTTCTCTTTTTTTTTTTTTTTTTTTTTTTTTTTTTTTTTATGAAAATAGTTTCCCTTTTCGCCCCAAAAAACAAACACACAAAACAACCTTTTTGCCCCAAAAGAAAGAACACAAAACAGTCTCTCTCCAGTTAGGCAAACTATAGAAAGCCCTAGCTTCTCATAGTCCCGCCAAAATGTGGTCTCCCCGTTCTTATTTGTCTTCAACACTTTCCTAGATTGAGACGCAAGACGACGACGTATCGGTACTCGAGTAAGCTATGACAGTTTCCAGTGCCTTGAACGCATTCAAGTCATCTAAATCCATCGTCTGGAAATCCGTAAGCACACTCCCTGTCTCTGTAAATACATACATAAGTTTACATCTCCCTCCCTTTTCCTCAAGTCATTTTCCGGTTGATTTTCTAAGCAATTTTTAATGTCTGAGTGTGATTTGTATTGTTTGATTACAGACTGGTAGGCTTCAGCAAACCATAGCGGGATGCATAGAGCGGAAGGGGAAAGGCTTGCACAGTGGAAAGGTCTCCACGGTGAAATTGTGGCCAGAGCTTGTCAGCAAAGGAAGGTACTTTGATTTTCAGCCCAATGTGATACGAGCTTCGATTGAGTTTGCTGAGGAATCGCCTCTGTGCACCACTCTCTGTAAAGATGGGATCAAAATTCGAACGGTTGAGCACTTGCTTTCGGCTTTGGAAGCTATGGAGGTTGATAATTGCCGGATTGAGATAAAGAACTCAGACCCCGAAGATTGCGATCTTGAGGTTGGTACCATATATTTGTGAATTTTCGATTTGTCTTGAGGAGGACTTGCTCTTGATTTCATTAGGAGACATATCAGGGGGGAAATTACACGTAGTAGGTTATTGGCGGACCCATAATTTTTTTAGTGGAGGTGAGTATGAAATATGGTTTTTCGGAATAATCATTTTCTCAAGATAATTTTTGGCAGCGTTTATTCCTTACACCTCAAATAAGAAAACTTGATTTTATGAGATTTTAGAATGAAGTATATGTTGACTTAATGAGCCATCATTTTTAGCCTAAATCGTATTTTGCAGTAAAACCGATTTTTCATATTTTGATTTGGTGGGAATTTGATTTTCTAGTATTTTTATTTGAATCCAAATGGGGGGTACTTCCTTATTTACATTGTAAACTTAAATAAATGGAGTAATATAAAAATAAATTAAAGTAAAAGGACAAAGACATTTACTTTGAAAATGGAGTAATATAAAAATAAATGTTGAAAATAGAAATAAGGTAATCCGTAGACCAGTTGAGTAAATGGGCAGTTTGAAGCACCTACAATAGTTTTTTCGGCAATGGGAGGTGCAGCTGCACCTCCTTGCGCCTTAATAGGTCCGCCATTTTGGGGCGCTTGAACTGTGTAATTGCCACTTCTAAGAAAGTTGAGGCAATCTGAATTTAAACATAGAGAACTACTGATTCTTGAATATGACATAGCAAAAGTAATAATGCCCAAAATCAAGTCATGCAGGTTCCTATTTTTGATGGGTCAGCAAGTGAGTGGGTAGAGGCTATAGAACAAGTTGGTTTAAAAGAGGCAACAGATCGTTGTGGCAACTGTTGTGAGAAGATGGCAGCATATGTGAATGAACCAGTGCATGTGTGGAGGAATGATTCTTTTGTTGCTGCATTTCCATCACCAGAAATTTGTATCACTTACGGGATCGACTTTCGACAGGTACACATTTTGCTGGATTGGGAATTGTCTTTACTGACAGCATGGTTTTGGAATGTGAAACAGAGAAGTGTTCTTATTAAGTATCCTTACTTGAAAGAGATTGGTTACTTAGTGAGAGGAATGGCTATCAAATATCTGCAGATTATTTTGTTTTTCTCGCTACTTCTTTGTCCAAATGTGAGAATTCATAGGCTAAATTTTGGGCTTGCTTGTTTGACACTTTCTGCAGGTGCAGGCTATTGGCTGCCAGTGGTTTTCTGTGACCTCCTTGGATAACTCTTTCTATTCCAAGCACATTGCTTTGTCAAGAACCTTTTGCATTTACGAGGAGGTCAATACTAAACGGTTCTCCATTAGTAGTCTTGAAATTACTCTGTGTTTTCTGTTATAGCTTAGTCATATATTGTTGAATTTATTATGGTAATGCTTGACTCCATGTTCTAACAGGTGGAGCGAATGCGGAATGCAGGACTCATAAAAGGGGGTGGATTAGAAAATGCACTTGTTTGTAGGTGAGACGCTCCATTTATGTTAAGTTGAACTAGTTAGGAGATGACATGGGTTGATCAAATGCGAATTGGGTGGACTGAGGTGACAATTGCCAGTTTGATATGATTTTATGCAAGTTAAAACAACGAGTTCAGGCAGAGAATTTGTTGAAGTGTGTGGGGAATATATCATGTCAACTTGATTAGGGAGAAAACACTTATAGTACACTTAATCCTATTTTTCTTTTGCAGTGCTAGTAAAGGTTGGTTGAACCCACCACTGCGTTTTCCAGATGAACCTTGTCGCCATAAGGTCTTAGATCTTATCGGCGACGCTTCCCTGTTTGCAAGGTTTGGCAGTCAAGGGTTTCCAGTGGCGCATATAGTGGCATACAAGGTATATACGTTTGTCTTATATTCATGTCTAAGAAGAGCTTAGAACAAAATGGTTATGAGATATTAAGTCCATTGTTTGTTTGTGTGGCATGTCACGCAGGGTAGCCATGCACTGCATTATGATTTTGTTCGCCGGCTATCAGGAATTATATAAAAGGATAATGTCTAGGTCCTCTGGAAGTCATTGTGATGTAGGAACGATCCAGAAATTCAGATGCAGAAATATAGAAGTAGATTACAGAAGTAGACCGGCATATGGTTTCAAGTTTCAACCTAAAAGTGCGCATATTACAGAAGCAGATTTACCCCGGTAACTGCTTGTATTTGAAAATTGGCTTGATGAAATGATGTAAGGTTGTATGCCTTCAAATTGTGTAACACTTTGTTCTTGATCAAGGCAAAAAATTTCCCGGTAGGACATCCCCTGTGAAAGAGTTAATTAGAAACCAGATAATCAAAGCTTGGTTCATCAATTTATACTCCTTTTTTTCTGTGCTAAAAACTAGGTCAAACTCCAACTCCTGGTAGTCAACGCAGTGAGCCTGGCGTTCAACAATACGATGTTATTAGTTCATATAACTAAGACTGCTGCCCGAATAACCGAGTTACACCACACATTCTCAGCAACCTCATATCAACAGAAATACATAATAAATATGCAAAACAATCGTTTTCCTTGCTAAGAAAGGAACCCTAGGTAACACATTAAGATGTTGAAGCCTGTATCTTTTTCTCCATCTTTGCACAGGCATGAAACAGCACAGACGAAAACAGAAAGAATCAATACGACTCCAAATGGCCGGAAAACAGACAAAATGAGGTCTAGTTAACTATGCTGTAATTCAATATCAATAAATATTTAAAATCTTTGCTCTTTTTGCCTTGACATTTCTGTACATACGCCACTGTGTGCAGAACCAACCACTTGCAATGTCCTGTTGATCCTTCAAACCGGTTCATTTCCCTTGAGAATGTTGTACTTGCAGAGAGGACATGTTGCATTCATTTTAAGCCATTTCACAATGCAAGTAGCGTGGAAATGATGATTACAGGGAAGAGTGTGAAGCTCTGTACCATCCTCATAGGGGCTGAGACATATACAACATTCCTGGAAAGAAAGCCAAAACCATACATCTTTAGAGCATAAAAATTCTTCATAAATTTCCAAAATACCATAAAAGCACAAATCGCTTTAATATTGGGCCTGTAAAAGATACCCATTTACCAACTGACCCTCATAAGTACCAACTCTCTGGCATAATATGGAGGATAAATGGGGTTTTTCTTATTAAAATAAAATTTTCTAATCAACTATAATAAACAGATTGAGTTCAACATAATGGGAGTAATATACTGAAATATAAATGCAATTCATGATGATGTGATGCCAAAGCATACCGCATCCTCAGGTAAAAGTATACGCTCAATTGCTAAGTACCCACTGCTTGTTTCTACTGGAATCATTTTCCCTGCTCCGACACTAGATTTTTCCTCACTGCTCGATCGAAATCTGTATTTTGGAAGAATACTGAGATCTGCTTCAGATGCACCTTCCTACATTGTCACACCAACAAAAAAATAATCAAGTCAAGAATAAGCAGTTACAATTTCTTAATTTTGTCAATAAATTTTTGAATCAAAGGTATAGGTTATCACTTCAAACCTGTCCAGCAACCGCATAAAGAATTGCAATGATGCATGGCAAACAGCAACAAAGAGCAACTCCAATCAAACATGCCAGAACAACACAAAAGATGGCAAAGAAGACATCAAATGCCAGAAAAACCACAGCCAACCTGCACACATTCAGAATAAAATATTTTTCTTTTATTCTAGAAATTACAAACTTTTTAGATAATTAGGCCGTTCATAGTCTATAGACACACAAAGAGATGACAGCTCAGGGTGACTCTTGTGTTAAAATGAGCTGACAGTCATTACAGTTTTAGCGCTATAGAAACTTAAAGTAAGGTTTTAGTTTTAGATGTGATCCCTGGCCCAGCTTTTGTGTTCATCTCTAACATTATAATGCCATAACTCCCTTCTGGTGAAACTTTTTAAAATTCCTAAAAGTTGCTTGTTTTAAACAAATTAAATTACTATATTATAAAAAAGGAAAGAAAGAAGATGCATGCACATAATTTGAGATGAAGGAATATTTCTTAATAGATTGGTTATAGAAATACCAGTACAAACGTGGAGCATTTTGCAGAAGAACTTCACCGCCAGAGACTACCCAATAAAAGCCAACTATCCACCAGAGAAATGATGCCATTGTATTCACTGTTTCGCATCGTTTAGAGAGACTAGGACATATAAAATGCAGTCAGTCAGTAATTTATAGACCTTCCACAAACAGGTACTAAGGCAGCACATGAAAACTCTAATTGCAGATAAAGCTGGGGACTGGAAATACCATAGAAAGTAGTCACATAACAGTTTGGTCAAATTCACAAACATATTTTGCAAGCATCATCCCCACACAAAATGAAATGTAGAGAGCAAAAATATGAGCAACTTCAAGATTAAAGCTTTGATGAGTTGAGTTAAGTTGGATTTTTACAAACAAAAAAACAAAAAATAAGTGATGATATGAATAATGCCAGAATCATAACTATGAAATCCAAAACGTTTCCGACTGTCATTCCCCAACTCTAAAACTTCCAAACAAGCAAAGATGTCAATATCCCATCTTGAACTATGCAGTAAAGATCTCAGTCGGATGGCATACAAGGACATCTCAGTCGGATGGCATACAAGGACAAGTGGAATTCGATTATGGGCTTAAATTAGTCACTAAACATGGTTATAACGTACTCTAAATATCCAACCACCACTACTATCCACCTCTTATGTGATACATAGGACTCAGCTAAGCTCAATTTATATTGTGAGAGAGCAACCCATTCATCAAGATTACTGGGTTTCAGTGTCCACTTTGAACTCCATGAACCATAACAACTATATCCAAAAGCAAATTAGAAGAAACCTGGAGCGCGTGGAAATCGCCAAATCCCTAGCTGCTGCTGCTGCTTCTTCGTCGTCGGTATCATTTGCATCAATTTCGACCTGGTGCTGGTTCTGCTGGGCATCCTGATTTCTTCTACTGATCCTCCGAGCAATATTATTCCTTCTCTGGTACTCAACCCACACCAACACCACATGCACGAAACACTGCAGCGCATATCCACAGATCCACAGCCGGATCGGCGTGTTTGGGTGCTCATGGTCTGTCCATATCAGCATCGCCACCGACACCACCACGAACGCCGTGTTCCACATCATGTCCAGAGCCACCACAGGCTTGGAGTAGCCCCAGTCGGCGCGCCGCTCGTCCAGTTCCCGCGCCGCCGTCTCCCGCACCAGCATCGAGGGGCCACGGCGCCCGGTGGCCCGCCCCAGCAGCATCGCCAGCGTGGCGGGTCGGGCGGTCGGGGAGCCGAGGTCGGAGGAGTCGCGGCCGCTGCTCGCCTGGCGGGGAAGGAGGAGCGGAGCATGGGACTCAGCCGCTGCCGCCGTCGTAGCCGAAGATTCCGAGGACATGTTTGTGATGAAATTATGAGAAAAAGAGGCAATTGAATTGCCAATTATAATTGAGAGAGAAATAGAGACATGATTCAGAGAGAGAGAGAGAGAGTGCTCGCCTCTTCCTTCCTATATTACAACTGTTAGTATTAGTGAGGGATATGGAGATGGGTTTGGCAATTGTGTGTGTCTTTTTTCAAAGTCGCAAAGTCTCAAAGTCTCAAAGTCTCAACACTTTCTGTGTTTTGAATGGTAGATAGACATGGATGAAAGGTTTTTGCTGGTTTTTTCGTGATTTCAGTAATTGACTCCTCTGTTGAGTTTTTGCGCCAAATACCCTTCTTATTTGCCAGCGCACGAAGGCACACCGTTCAGTTTCTTTTTTTTATCTTAATTGATCAGCCTCAGTTTTTCTGCCCTTAAAAAATTTCAGCAGTCAAATTTCTTTATTAAACATTTATAAGAACTTAAAATAATAATAATAATAATAATTTGTTGTTGCCCACTCTATTTAACAGATTGCTAATCATATTGTTGTATAAAGATGGAAATATTATGGATGGGTAGATGATCACTATGTGATCTACAAAGGTACTACAAATGTTTTTTGATTGTAGAGATCCGGTCGCTTTCTTTCATTAAATTCTATTCGATACGTTGTCAATCCAATTTTCCCTTCACTCAACCTAAAAATAAAAATAAAAAAGTTTTTGAAGAATATATAACTAGTGTCCTTTCACTAAAAATATATATATATATTTTGAATTTTTTTTAATGAAGAATTATTAGCTTCCTTTCACTCACCTAAAATTCAAAGGTGGTAGCAGAACCCCTTTGTGCCGCCAACAACTACACGTGCTGGTAGGGCAGAACTACACGAGGTGGTCCTCCGTAATGCCGTCTGACAGACACTCTGATTGCGGCGCAACGATGTGTCGTCCACTTGTACTCAAACACACGCGTCCTCCCTCTGCTCCATGAGATCCTCAGTAACAACATGAGTCAGCCAGGCTACAGACACCCTTGTTTATGCTGATGTACGTTAAAATTTTGACAGATGGAAATGATTTTCCATGCAAGCTTCTCATCTGCCATCCCCCAACTGCAGCAGAAAAACGCTGCTTCTTGGGATTTGTTTTGAACATCCATTAATCTGTAAGGGCAGTTGTTCTTCAAACAAATGGACACATGAAACGACTCCACTTGAAGATGATCCTCAAAATCTTGGATGTTCCCTTGAGAAAATTCATTTGACAGTTTTGCAGACAATTGGCGAAGAAGCCGAGAGCATGTCTCAGATTTGCAAAGCTGACCATCATTTGTTGTTGAACTTTTGGTGTCTCCCAAGTTGCCAATATCAACAGGGCAGCAATAAGCAAATTGAACTTGGTGCTTCTTTTCTCCTAACATAAGCAGAAGCTCGTCTTGGTGTACTACCTTGGCTTTTTTGTTTCTCTCCATAACCAAGACCCCTTCTGCTACCCTTTCATCACTTACTCGCAGTCGGGGAGTGAAATTATTGTTTCTCGAATTTGAACCGTGTTCATCTTCTTGGCTGCTTTTCGAAAACTTGAAGTTCGGATTTGAGCAGCTTCGGATAAATGCGTCCGAAGCTAATGCCTTCACATAGTGGGTTGAAGAAATTGACACAGTCTCATTGTTTGCAGGGTCATAACATTGAATTCCCAGTTCGGACTGTATTTTTCCTTTTAGAGTAGCCATTTTAGGCTTCTCGCCATGAACAAGTATCACGTTCTTGGGGGAGAGAAATTTGATAAGGTCCATAATCCCTTTGGCATCTGTATGAGGACTGAAAGACAGATGATGAATCTGGCAATCAAAATAGAATGTATAAGAGGACAATCATGAAGAAATGCGAAAAACAGAAGAAAACTTCTTTCAATTTATATTTGTAAACAAATCACCTCATGTGTAAAACTATTAAAAATGAAAATTCAATGGAAGCATTCTTGAAGAAGAATGATGTTGAAACTATTGTAAAGGGTAAGAGATGAAGTTGAACCTGGCATCGCACATCAATTTGGGTGTCCTTGTCCAGATCAATTTTGGTGGGTTTACCCGACATCAATTTATGTCCTATAGTTCCAGCCACGCAATACCTAGAAAAGGACAGAAAAAATTGATGACTAAAAGTTCAACTTGGCACCCTATTCTTTCTTTTTTCCTTTTTTTTGTTCCGCCTATCAAGTTCCAGCAAACCATAGTATCATATGGACATATGAACATGACGACATTGTCTTTAAATTTTAAACATCAAAAGAGAGTTAAAAGTAGATCAACTCAACTGGTAACTGAAAAATATATTCCAGAATTTACTACGGTGTTTGTTGCGATCACCTTCTAGGTTCCAACTTCCAACCCAAAAGTTTCTTATTGATATCTGATAATAAATTTGAGGTTTAGAGATAAATGAAATCGAAGAAGGCAGTTACCCGGGCAGTGTAACAAGATTCATTTCCGAAGGAGCCCAGTGCTTGAAAACTTCAAGTGAAAAACCACCACTGATCATCCCTGGTGTGGCAAACAGAACACAAGGTCCAGGAGCATCGATCATAGAACGGTCAAACTTGTGAGCTGCAACATTCAAAACAAAAAAAAGTAAGATGGAGGGCTCATTAAACAATTAGTTATCAAGCAATGAAATAATATATTCAATATCAATTCTTGCAAAAGTTAACTTAAAATGTAGATACTCGTATGTCTATAATACTGCTGTGTGGTTCTTCCTTTTCATCAACATTTTATATTGCTACTTGATAAACTACTCACTCTTAATCTTTTCTGCTTTAAATCCCAAAGAACAACCTTATATATAATTTTTTTTGGTTATAACAACATTATATCTTGATTTCCAAGAAACAACAACTTCAGTCCCTCAGAAATTTAATAACAGATAAAATAAGTACCATTTTTAAAATCAAATGCATTGCGCGTGGAATACGTTTCTTTAACTTTCTGGCTGGTCCAACTGATAAGCATCTTATAGTACATATTGGCTTGAAGGGTCAAACCTGAAAGAATTAATATCGTCAGTAAAAATTTGAAACACCACTGTATACTAAGAAAGAAATGAAAGCACCCCTAGAAATTGAGAAACTGTAAAAGATTTGCCACATCAGAAAATTTTTCACACACGCAGATAAACTTCCAGAATCATGTCAAAGATGAAATTAATAACACTTTGATCCCGGCTAGATAGCTACTTCTTGTTTATACATTAATTATCACTAATCACTAATTTCTAAGATTTATTTACCCACGTTATAGGTACCAAAATGTTATCAGATCAAGATTGGTGCAAGTAAGTAACAAAACTTAGATTGCAAAGCATCCACTTTGATACCTGAGAGCATAGCATACAGTTTGACCACATATCCTGCAAACAGTTAATAGATGTGAGAAGGAAGTACAGCAGCTAGTGCAAACCTGCTGAGAAGTAAATAGGAACCTTTAGATTCATGCGCTCCCAATAATCTTCCAGCAAGATACAGAGCTCCTACAAAATAATAGATTACATTCAGAACAAAATGTCACAGCCAGGGCTCAGAATTGGCTACGAAAATCATTAGCACTAAAATAAACAGAATCAAGATCAAACATAAAGATACGAAGAATTAGAATTGTTGTAGCAGTGTCTGGTGTCATGAATTCAAGGCGTTCTAGTTGGAATATGGTTGTTTATTTCTGTCATATAAATGATGGTTTTTTAACTAGATACAATTTCCATAAAAATCTAAATCTATTAATACAAATCCATTATCTAACTAGCTTGAAAGGAATCAATACGATAACAATGCTGATTAAAGTATGAAAGCTTAATAAGGACGCACAGGCTAACTGCAAGGAACTTTGTAATCCAAAAGCAATTATTCAGGACTTCAGAGGTCTCTCTCATTTTTCCTTCTTAGAACAGGAAGAACTTCCTTCCAAGAACAAAATATAAATACGAAGTCAAAAAAAATGAAACTCTCTTAATTAGAGTACCTGAGCTCTCCCAAGAGCAAATGTTGGAATTAGCACTTTTCCACCACCAGCAACGCATTTGTGAACCTACATAAACCTATATTAGAGATTACCAACAAAACCACCTTCAGAGGAGCAAGATAAGAAAATCTTGCATCCAATTTTGACAGCCACCAGTTTCACAAAGGAATACATATATCTATGACATGTATGACTTCATCAATAGAAATTGATTCTTACGGCAATGAGTTGCATGTTAGAGAACCAAGAGTTTGATAATTATGACTCTTTACACTAGTTTAAATTATAGTATGAACTGTTGATACTTCAATTTTGTCATTTACGTACAGCTCTGAGAAATTCTCTTTCCCGGGCATATTTTGAATCCCGGATGGTTGTTCCATATGTGGACCTGTAACAGGAAAAAATATCTATGTATAAGCGAGTGCATGGAACACAAAGGTTTCATACATTAAAAGAAATTGTACTCTGAGTTCATCAACAAAGGACATCCAATGTTTAACAAATGATAAGGTGCAAAGTCAAATAATATACAAGACATAGATATCCCATACTCTGAAATAAGAAGGTCCAAATTTAGTCGTTCAATTTGAGCTGCTCCAAGATGCCTATCTGGCGTCATATTATAGTCTCCTGTGTATACCATAGCAGCGTCTCCCACCTTTGCATAAAACATTGCAGCTCCAAGAACCTTAGAAGAAAAATAAATATTAGGACTCAAGGAATGACACACGAAAGTGACAAACAGTATTGACTATTCCAAGAAAATTATTAACGAAATAGGAGAAATATAATTCTTTTCCGGTGTGTATAAGCATGATATCAACAGACAATGTATTCTAGATGTGAGATAAACAAGACTTACATGTCCTGCATAGTACGCACGGATTTGAAGGTCTTTATCAACCTGCACTGTTTGCTTCAGATCCACTGGTATAACTGCATTGAGGAACCATATAAAAAAGTAACCATAAAACAATAACAGAATAGCTGAATTTCAGAAAACAAAAACAACCCTTAACTTGTGAAAATTTTCAAGTAACTTATGACGACTAAATCTTCAACTGGTTCAAGAAAATCATAAGAAATACTCTAGTACCTTTCTTCATGCATTCGGCAATGTGATCAGAAGAAAACTGTTCTTCCTCACCCCTTCGCTCAACCATCACTTTTCGATAGTCCTCCAACATTATAGGAGCCAATGCCTTTGTCGGATACTGCAGTACAATCACGAAAAACCGTTACAACAAGAACATCAAAATACCAATTGACACAGACATTTTCCCGAGCACCTTACCGTCATGTAAATGGGGCCACGATAACCGCAGACTTCCGTGAAATAAGGGAGGGCTCCAACGTGATCCAAGTGACTGCCCAATTGCAAAAGATCAACAAATATTGAGGTAAGTCTACTGAACCATAAGGAATTTAAAATATTAAGTTGGTTTTTGTTTTCTTTTCGTACAAGTGGGTGATGATGATGCAAGTGAGGGCGTGATCGAAGTTCGCGTCCGGTTCGGGTTTAGGAATGAGAGAGAAGTCGGGGTAGCGTTGGTGGTCTAGATGCCCCATATGCATTCCGCAGTCGAACATGATTCGCTTCCCATTGATTGTCACCACTACACAGCTCTTACCTACCTCTTGCCCAGCGCCTGATGACCCCAAAAAAAATTAATTAATTAATCAGTTTAAGGCAAAAAGTAAAAATTTCTGGGAGAGAATAGAATGAAGGTGAGGGGTAGAGTTACCGAGGACGAGAGAGTCGATGGTCATGAGAATGAGATACGCAGCTTCTTGGCGCGCTTTTGAGTTTCGGCGTTTGATTCGTTTCGTTTTGTGGCAGAATTTAAATAAATAACAGCCGAATTAATGAAAAATGGACACAATTACGGGCTTTACAACCAATGGCCCAGAGAGATTCATGACGGAGCCCGCCATCGAAAACAGGCCAACCCAGCCAGCACTATCCAGGAAAGCATAAAATAAAATAAAATATAGGTTTTTTTGGGTCATTAGTAAGGGGAGGAAACTTGAACTCAAGACCACTTTGGAGCACACCAAAGACCTGGATCAATCCAACAAAACATAGGAATTTTGAGGGAATGAAAACCAACTAATACCCCATTGGTAAAACATACGAATGCAATTAACTCTACAACCTAAGTCTGGCGTTCGAATCCCCGTCCATGCTCTATGCCTTTGGTTTCAGTTTTAGGTTTAATCTCAAGGAAATCACACACCGAATATCAATCACAATTTCTGCTTGCTGAACCCTACTCTTATTTCTTGTTAGAGAAGACTCGAGAGTGAAGCCCAACCCATTTCAATTTGTCAGAAAGTTTCTGCTTGTTTATTTCATTTCATACTACAAACGACAAAGAGAACAACTGCATAAGTAAAAATGAAAGATAATGGTTTTGATATGAGGCTCCATTTCAAACCATAGTATATATCATAAAGCTAATAACATTATAGCCCAGTCCCCTAAGGTGAGCTTGATAGGGGCTATATAGGAATTTAACATTCTACCAGACATACATATATATAACCAACAGTGGACTATAGATGAATTAACACAACCACAAAAGATCTGATCTTGATCTGGTTACAAGAATATTAACAAACCCTGAACCAACAACAATCACACTAGCTGCAATTACAAATATAAACTGCAAAAGATAGAACAAAAGTAAAAACCAATAAGCTACCTATACAACACAATCATTGGCCACTCACGACACCACAAAAGGTTAGCCCAAAGTCAATAATCTTCTTCCCTCTCTCTTCTTTTCTGCTGATCTCTAAGCATGGGAATAACAATCTACGTCAGAAGCATACCGACTTCTTTCTCTGAGTTTGCCCTCCTTTTTGGATTCTCTCCTTGCCAGCTTTGGTGAACACAGTATCATCGGCATGCCAACTACAATCTTTTAATCAATCACAGTAGGGGGAAAAAGGAAAAATAATAATAAAATGTGGAAAATGGAGGGAAGAACAAGGCCTATGCGGATTAACGCCTTTATGCAGCTGCAAATTAGGATTTTTGTCATTGGGTGCTGCGTGTTAACCCACCTCGTGCCAAACCTCTGCACAAATATGTGAAACACGTCAACTTCTACAAGCTTTGTGAAAACAATAATCACCACCATAGCCACAATTATTCTCATCAGAGCACAACATTCATATAGTGGTTGTACATGTGTGTGAGAATGAGATTTTAAATGATCTGGCAGTTTTATCTTTGGAAAGAAGAAAAAAACATATGTTTCCTATATACGCTCTATATAATTTGAAGGTATAAATAGTAAGTACCAAGTGTAACAAATTTACACAAATGGGGGGATATATATATCCTAAAGCAAGTTGATCCATCATCGCCAATCTCTCTATTACTAAGAAAACATAATAAATGGCACAACCATAAAACTAGTTTGGCCTAAGACATTACAGGTGGTAAGAGATTGAAAAATAAGTACCTTCCAGAAAGAACCTGAGCACTGTTGACAGAACCTTTGGCATTACCAAACCGCTTGGCCCTATTCTCATGTTCTTTGTCCACACGCATGGCAGCCACCTCTTTCTCCATGGCAGCAACTTCTCTTCTCATTTTCTTTGCCTCAACCTCCATTGCTTTAGTCAAGGTATCTACCTTCTTAGCCAACATCTGAAAGACAAAAATCACAAATGAATGCTTAACCAAGGGCATACATTACAGAATAATAGACTGATAGAAAAGAATATCGACCTCGATAGCGTCATCCTTATCTTTCAGGCTTTGATCTTTCTCATGACCAGCTTTCCTCAAAGCTACAACCTCTTTCTGTAGCAAATCATACAAAACCCCTGGGACACTATCCTCTATATCCACTGTTGAGAATTCATTTGGCTTATCATCTGAATTTCCCTTCCAGTTATTTTGTGCTTCACCATCCTTGGTTCCCTCACAAGATTGGTTAACTGAGAAACTAGGGCTTGTACCATTTAAGAGAACCTTACCCCTGTCCAGTGACCTTGTACCACCATCAAATGATTTTGATGTGCCTTTAGCATGCTTCAACACTGAACTGGTGCTAGAGGACAAAGACCTGACCGGTGTTCTCTTGGATAAATAGCCATTGGAAGTTAATTTTGGAATATTATCAGCCCCACCCAGAGACTGACGTCGAGAGGGCCCATTGCTTGTACTTCGTCCCTCAGCTGTGCTGCGATTAGTACTGCTAGAAGATCCTCTCACACTCTCCTCAAGCACTTTAAGTCGCATATGGTATTTTTCCTGTTAAATACAAGAGAGAACTTTTACTCTACACAACATCCCACCTTTAAATTACATACAAATTTGAAATTGATTGCAGAACTGGATTATTACTTTCAACTGCGCTTCGGACTTGGCAGCTCGCTCAGTTATGGCAAGCTTATCACGGAGTTGCTGCATTTCTCCCTGTCAGAACACAGTTTGGCAATTACAGTAAACAGTAAAGCCAAACACTGAAAGCTCAAAGAAAGCCAGTAAGAAGCTAAGAGTTCGACCAAAAAAAGAAGATAAGAACCACTACCTGCAAGAATCTCCGTTCTTCAAGCCATTGTTTTACAGGCATCACTTTGTCATTAGCATCTTTCCACTCATTTGCTACCACTACAGCTACTCTGTTTGCTGTTACTTTCGCACGGGCCAACTCCCGGTCTAGAGTTTTCCTTTCCTCCTGAGAAACACAAAACCATACCTTTTCAATCTTAAGAATGCTTTCAACTACAGGTTACAGGTTAACAATAAGCAAAAGCCAATATTGAGCATTTATATATGTTTGGCATATTACGTTCATCTCCTGGAATTTCCGCTGATAATCCCTCACAGCATTTGCCGCTGCACCTCCAGCAAGAACAGCCTCTTCCAACTCCCGCACAGTCTGAGTAAGCTTTTCAACCTCGGCAACCTTTTGTCTATGCATCTTGTCTAAAATTTTATTTTCTTCCTACCACACAGAAGCAGTAGAAATATAAATCATCCTAGTTGAACACCGAAAGCAGGAAACTATAATATTAAATTCCCACACCACTGCCAAAAGAAGAAAAAATATGTCTAATGCACTTAAAGAAACGAATATCATGCATGACCTGGCACTTACCTGACAAATTTCTATCTGTTTCATTAACTCTTGGTTTTTATTCTGAAGATCATCCACCATGGAGGCCTTAGCCAAAGCAACCTGAACAGTCCTCTCAGCCTCAAGTAAAGCTGCTTCTTTTGATTTGGTAAGGCGATCCAAAGCTTTGTTATCATCTTGAAGCTTTGCAATCTGTAAGCAGCAAAGTAACTAATTAATTACACTTACAAGTCACCATAAATTCCGTCTGCTAGGGTAACACACAAAGTACCTCTTGTCGAGCAAGCTTGAGCTCAGCCTCCAGAGGTGCAAGAATGGCTTCAATTGGAGGCATATCATCATCCTTTTGGGCAGCATGAACCCTGCGTAGAGTAGCTTCAGCTGCAAACTGAGCTGCCATGGAAGCTTTCTTCTCATCATTGATTTTTTTAATTTCTAGATTCTGCAAAACATTTTTTGACGAAGTAGAATTGTGATAACAAGTATATATAACCAAAGTGAAAATAAGTTAGCAAACTTTCAGATAAGTTGAGACGAGGATCAAATTCAAATAATACTTTGCTTTCTAGAAGTGATTCTGTTAACTTCAGCTTCTCCTCCACCTTCGATAGTTCATCAGTGAGCTGCAATGTAATCAAAACACAGAAAAATAGAAAAGTCAGCAACCATTTTAATGACATACTAGTTAAATGAGAGAGAAAACAAAAGAAAAAAATTCCCCTAATATTACATATATCAAAATTTAAGATTTATAATGTCCAGCGTTCCAGATTATCAGAAAACAAAATTCTTTGATATCTCTCAAAGTGGCTAATGGCAACAAATGCAAGTGTCACAATAAAGGAGGAAACCATGAGCTATATTGCAAACATGAGAAAATGTACCAATTGAGGCTGTTAAGCATTTTCCTTCTCTCTCTTTTTTTTCTTTTTGTTCTTTTTTTGGTGAACAGGACTGTAGAGCATTTAAGCTTACATGCCAACAATATTCCTATACGAGTAATACATTACTATACATACCACAATTTTGGGCCAATTAAAATATGTTACCCCAGAACTAAAAAAGGAATACGAACTAGTTAAATTCTTTTTCAGGAAGAACAAGTCAAATTCTTAATAATCAACTAATATGCTAGTTAGTTCTCCAGAAATGGAATCCAAAAAATAAATTAACCCTTGCCTTGCCCCTCAGTTACTAGAAAACAGATTCCCTATTGATCATAATAATTGTTAAAATAGCCATCGTCTACTCCTGCAATTCCCAGGATCCTAAAATACGGGCTAAATGTAAATTTTATTATTAAGGAAGAAACACGACTAAGAATAATTCTTCAGACGTGACTGTTATTGCCCGGAGAGAAGGAAACTATACAAATTTCAATTTAAATAAGATTTGAGATTCAAATTCAAGACAAACACATAAGCTGCTTGGCAAAGATGCCAACCTAGAAAATCCAGAACCAATATTTGTATACACACACGGACACGCAAAAAAAAAAAGAGCAACTCGAAAAATCAGCGTAATAGCAAATGACGAAAATAACCTCTTCAACAGCCTTTTCTCTGGCTCTTTCAGAGAGCTTAAGAGCCTTGATCTGAGCCTGTGCCTCTCCTAACTCCCGGTCCTTATCTGCAAAACTCACCCAAAAACAACAGTCAAAACGGAGAAACTACACTCTAAATCGAGCAAAACCAGTAGCAAATCTCGAGAAAACCAGCGGATCGAGCCGCATTCGCACCTCTGACTTCATTCTCGAGCCGATTGAGCTCGACCTTGACCGGATCCGAGCCGTGCAAGAGGTTAATGAACTCGTCGCCGTCCATGCTCGGCCTCATGAATCCTCTTCTCCGCGATGAACTCTTCCCCTCCTTGAACGATCCCGACACCGTCAGTGGCGGCGGTGTCGGAGTAGCCCCTGGAGCCGGTCCATTACAGCTGAACTCCGCCACCGGAGTCGTACCTCCGTCGCCGGAAACCTCATCCATAGCCGATCTGAGTAGCGCACACTCTTTCACATCCAAATGCAGGTCAGGATCCGAAATGCCTAGGGTTTCCAATCGTAGATAAATATACAGATACGCAGATTATAGATATGTAGATATTGAGAGAGAAGGAGAGAAGGAGAGTGTTGAGCTTTTGGGAAAAATGGTGATTTTTAGAGAGAGAAATGGAGTGGGTTTTCTCTTGCTTTGTTTTTTCTCTCTCTAGATTGTGATTTAAATCTGGTTGTGGCTAGAGAGAGAGTGAGTAGATTTAGTTTGATTAATTAAATAGACCGGCGAAGAGGAGTGGGGACGCTTTGCTGTTAAGCAGACACTAGTGCATGCGACTCTCAGTATTATTAAGTAAACCCCTTCAAACAGTTAATAATACTCCTACTTACTTTGATTTGTTTCTTTTTGTTTTTCTTTTGGGCTTTGGGCTTTTTTGGTCTTGCGATATTTTCTTCTAGGATAAGCTGGAAGCGTAATGCGCACTCTCACGCAAAGGGAAGGCCTCTGGGTACCGTATACGCAGTCGCACAGTACATGGATGCGCATGGTAGCAGGGTAGCAGGTTAGCAGGCTAGCAGCGCTATATATTTCAGTAATTTTTATTTTTTTTTCTCATTGTTAAGAATTCAGTTTTTCTATTCCAATTGTTATTACAACAGAGATGACAATAAAATATTAACTTCATATACATTTCTAAAAATATATATTTTTAAAATAGCAACTTTTTTTTAATTAACAGGTCACGTGGATTCTAATTTGACATTTTTTTCAATATTGATAATCAAAATATCATTAGACTAAGAGCTAATTAGAACATTTGCAATAGTTATGATCAATGCAATTTTATTGCATGAAATTGAACTAAAACAGTAAAATATCACTTGTAATAGTGTGATTTAGTTCATTGCAATTTGCAATAAAGGGTATGAACCCTCTATTGCAACTATGGGACCCACATGCAGTGGCAGAGCCACTCCTAGGCCTGGAGTGGCCCTGGCCCCCCCTTAGATTTTTATCTCTCTTCTATTATGTTACATATAACATATATAATTTGTAATAATCATCTTATAATTTAAGTTAAAATTTCCTCAAAAACAAATTAGCCATGACTTAATTAGAAATATTTCGCTCTAAACATATAATTATTGAATACTGAATTATTTTATATATTTGTATTTTATACTTCGGCCCACCCAACTTTACAATTCTAACTCCACCCTGCCTACATGCCAATAAAAACTGGAAAAAATACAGCAATTAATGCATTATGTAGAATCCACAATGGTTGTTCAATAATTCAATGAAATATAATAAATACATCAATTATTTATTTTTCCAAATATATTAAAAATTGGTCTCTTTTTAAAGATCTATTTGAGAATATTGTAATGGTATATTTTTTAGTGTTATTAAATTTATCCCTTTTATTTTATTTGAGTGTGTAAAAAGACATGTAAATAGATATAACTATTGATCGAAAGCTATTGACTGTACAAATGCAAGTAAAATAGTTCAATTCAATAGATGCTAAAAAAGATCAATTTATTGAACTATTGAACAACCATTATGGATGCTATTAGCAAAAACATGGGGTCTTTCAACTCTTTTAAACTCTAATTAGCAAATTTGGAACTATTTGTTTTTTTTAATTTTATTTTATACAATGTTATATACTTTTGTTTCATCACTATCCAGGAGGCTCTAATTTGTGTATTATATTTTTAAAAATATTTTATTTTTTAAAAAGGAACATAGGGTCTTTCAACTCTTTTAAACTCTAATTGATTGCAAATTTGGAAGTTTTAAGTTTGTTGTTGTGGAGAGGGATTTCTCAAATTCCAAGTTATGTTGTTCTTTGTTTATTATTTGAAGTATTAAAATTTCATTGAATTTCCTTCAACTGTTTATGAGTTCAAGTAGCAACAATTCATGAAAAAACAACAATATGGAATCTAAAAAAGAAAAAGAAATGATTGAATTGTTACAAGTATTTATCTTGTTTATGCATTTGATTTGTATGTATCAAGCGTAGCCTTTTATTTTAGATTTTTATGTATTGAAGTTTGAATTGATATAATTTATCTTTGTTGAATGTTAAATTTGTAGTTAATTCGAAAAAATGAGAATGAGTCTAGCACTTAAGTGGAAAAATAAAATAATATATATATATATATATATATAAAGCAAAAGGCATAGAATGGTGAAACATTCAAAATACCAAAAAATGTCCTTGATTAATGCAAACATTAAGAATTGAAATTATTAATTAAATGAGGATAATATGGTAAATTCACATTTTGTTCATATTTTTTTTATAAAAAAAAATCAGATAATTGATCATATTTTCATATAACACAACTACCCATTATCTTTTTTAATTCTAAAATAAATTTAAATTTTTTTAAAAAAAACCTCTCACATGTGCGGAAATGCGTGCAAAAAGGATAGTATATATAAGGGCACAATTTTTTTCATTTACTCTGGGCCTGAAAATTTCAGGACCGTCCCTAATAATATTCCAAAACTTAACATATGAAAAATGAGACAAGTTGAGCATCTAATATTATCTATTTTGAATGCATCATTTTCTCTGTGAATGCATGGAAGATTTTAGGGAGTTTCACTAAAACACCAAAAATGGGGGCTGAAATTATAAAAAAACTCAACACCCAAAACACTTTATAAACACACCCAAAACCCATCATTACACACAGTCAAAACTCATTTATAAATACACCCAAAAAATATACAATTGTTGATTTTTGGTGTGTTTCTATGTTTAAATAGTGCTTGGGTTTTTTTTATAAATACATGTCTAGAATTGAGTTTATTTATAAATTTGTAAAGATTTTATTCCATATGGCCAACTATGAGGCACGCTTGATTTTCCAATACATTTGGAGCATGTAGAGAAAGAATTTTGTATCACAAACCTCATTTGGATGAAAGGAAGGATGTGGGAAGTTGTATGAGCCATTGCATTGCATGCATAAATCCAACACTAAACAGTCTCATGGCTCACGATGAAACAAAACAAATAATGCACACACCAATTATCACGGGTGCAATGTCTAATTGGGACCAGTAATATAAAAGTAGAAATTCATATGCAGACTCGAGAGTGGTAAGTGTCATTGTCAAATATTGAGAAAATAACCAAAGAAAACTGTAATTCAAGAGTGATATTGTAGTAACCAAATATTAAGGGCATGGCATTATCAGGCATTATTTAGGCAGTAAATCACTTTCACCCACCTGCCCAAAATCAGTTCGCCAATAGCATCGCAGGCCAATAACGGTTTTGGTATGCTCAGCCCAATTGGACACTCAATATATGCAAGAAGACTTATTACAACAAGTAGCATCTTTGTTTCCTATATTATGAAAAAAAATAATTATGCGGTGAGGCTGTCAAATACATTATATTTCTCACATACTTATTATTTACATAATAGCATAATTGTGAGACGAGACATATTGTATACAATATAAATATATTTTACAATGCGTCCAAAATGATACATTATTCTTTTTATAGGTCATGTTTAGTGGGCTGGACTGAACTATTTCAATTAGAATAGACAAGAGTTCTAACTGTTTGTTTGGTGTGCTGAGACTTTAGTTATTAAATAGAAAATTAGATCAAACTCCAAAACTGCCAGAGTTTATTAGGAATAACCCATGCATTTTTTATTTTGATGTAAACCCAATGACTAGCGCTTCACGTCAACAAACTTACCATAGTGAGATGATAAGTTAGTCTATATTTATTAAGTCTCATGAGGGGTGGGAAATGTGTAACTCGTAATAATTGACTTGGACTCAACTCCAATTTAATCCAAACCGCACTATCGAACAAGACCTTAAAGAGACAAACCCTTGATTTCAAAGGTTGTTAAGCAATAAGCACGGGTTATGTAGCTGGCAATCGAGGGGATGCGGATTTGCATGCAGCCAAACAAGCCCTAGATGGAGCATGCTAAAATTCTCTCAGTTTTTGTGCACTTTTTGGGATAAAATAGGAGGGGGATAAGGTAAAGAAATTGGAAAAGATAGCAAAAGCTGCTGCATTGGCCTTTTTGATAACGTTGCTATCCCTTGAAGAATCAACATGACTGGAAGGTCGAGTGAGATATATATATATTTTCTTTTTGGGTATAAGTAGAAAGCTTTATTTTATATATATATATATTTTTAAAAGCTCTTAATCTGGATTTTAGTAGGCTTAAAAACGGATTTGAAAGTGAGTGAATGGGTTGTGCTTGTGTTGTGTCCCCTCAACCACCTAAACTATGCTTTTTCTGATTTCGAAATTTAAATACAAACCGTTCATCATATAAAACACACAGTGACACTTCACAATTTGCTGCTTGAGGTTCAACGGCAGAGTGATGCTGACACTACACTGACTGACCACCTGTGCCTCTGAAGATTAACGATGGGACCCATTTTACTCTCCCTCCCTCTTGCCACGCTCTTCCCTAATTCCATTATTTTCTATCAGCAAAGCTCCGTCGCCCGCCCCGCAGTCATTGTTGTGCACATTACTTTCAAAATTGTTAATTAGTACTAATTTGGTAATTAAACTAGCTCTTTAATTACTTGAATAAAAAAAATGACGTTATAACTTTTTGATTTTTAACTTTTAAATGTTTGGTTTAGTGCTTCATTCATTCATGCTTCTAGCTAGGCCCTTTCGATCTAAAGGCCACGTGTGTGGCGAAGACGTGTAGGCCTGGGTTCAGACAAGAAATGATGGTTTATTGTCAACTTCATTTTCGGTTTTTGGTGTTGCATTGCAAGACAAAAAAATAGTGGGGTAGTATTAAAAGTCGACTTAATTTAAAGCTATCAAAGCTTTAATTGATTTTGAACCAACTTGAACTGTGATCATGCCTGGGCTTGGGTTTGGCAATGAGTTCAATGTAGAAATGACATCTGTTCAACCTTGGATGAAAGCCCAATAGGTCTGGTTTTCTTGGTTGATTGAATACTCATTTCAAAGCATTAAAAAATAAAAAAATAGTTGAAATCTCAAACATCAGGAAGAATCGCATGTTGCTGTTTTTTTTTGTTGTTGTTGCCATTATAATAAACAAAATATGAAGTCGCTGGAAATGGGCTTAACGAAGCCGAAAGTCATGGCTTTTAAGACCAAAAGAGTGGGACTGAAGGGAAGCTGAAGCAAATTAGTAGTGCCAACTGCTACATCCAGTTATTACTTGTTTTGGTGCGCAGGCAGGTGTGGCGGCGGTGGACATCTTAGAAATTATAAGTTAAAATAATACACCCAACCGTGAATTTAATTGTAACCATTTGTTAACATTTTCACTTTCATTTTTGGTATGGTAAAAGAATAATTGTATGCTTATTTGACATCGAAGTATTTATTGTTCAAAATAATCTATGTGATAATTCTATTGTCAATGTTAGAAGAAGTTTCAAGTTCAAATATTCTCCATTAGTTTTTAAAAAAGATAAAAAAATTTGGTAGATGTCCAATTATCTTAGTAATTAAAAAAAGACTGAGTAATTAAAAAAAAAGTCTTTCTAGCTAAAAAAAAACACACAAACACAAACACACATGTTCATATTTTAGTTTCTATTGGTAAAGAAATTTTTAAAAAAAGGAATCCAAGTTATGCATCTTGTGGCCCACCAATGTCCTTATGGGTCGGATAGCCTTTCACTTTTGTTCTAAAATCCAAGAGGCCTTCTCTTATTGGGTGTTTAGAGCAATTTAGGCTAAAGAAAAATATCCAAGCCCAATTATCTCCACATAAGCAAATGGTCCGTCCAAAATAGACTTCCACTCTTCGTTTGAGAAAACGACATCGTCAAGAAGGTGCAAGCCTAAACCGCAGCAAAACCCTGAATTTTCTTAGCTCAACCGCCAAACACAGCACACCCGATACCATCCATGAATGATCAGAGAAACCCTCCAGTTAATTGGTCACCTGCGAAGAACCTCACAGCTCCCGAGTCATTCTACCTGCAACAAGCTCCTACACAACCTGATTAGCTCCAACTGCGGTGAGCTCTCTCCGAAAATCCTCTCCCACTTGGTCTCCAAAGGGTACAATCCTCACCGCTCTTCATTCAATGCAGTTATCTCCTTTTTATGTAAATTGGGTCATATTAGTTTTGCCCGAAAGCTCGTGAATTCGATGCCGAGATACGGGTGCTTGCCTGATATTGTAACTTACAATTCTTTGATTGATGGGTATTGTAAATTTTCTGACATTGATGAAGCTTGTTTGTTAATGAAAGAGATACGCAAAGGAGGATGTAGACCTGATTTGGTTACTTTTAATGTATTGCTTAACGGGTTCTGTAATATTAAAATGAAGAAAGAAGCTTTGGTTTATATAGGTTTGATGTGGAAGAGTTGTTCACCGAATGTAGTTACATATAGTCACTTTATAGATATGTTTTGTAAAATGGGGGATTTGTGTTTGGGTTATAGGCTGCTTGGTGATATGGTGAAGGATGGGGTGCTGCCGAATTTCTTCGCTTTTACTTCTTTGATTGATGGATATTGTAAGGCTGGTAATTTGGAGGTTGCTTTTGAATTGCTTGAGAAGATGAGGCAATCGTCACTTATACCAAACGTGGTTACTTATAATGCTTTAATTAAAGGGATTTGCATGAAGAGGATGTTGGGAAGAGCCGATTATTTGTTTTCTAAGATGTGGGAAGATGGGTTTGAGCCTAATTCAGCCGTCTATACTTCAATGATAGATGGACATTTAAAGAAAGGAAATTTAGATGATGCCATGAAGTATATGAGTAAAATGCATGATCAAGGGTTCAGCCTTGATGTAGCTGCATATGGGGCAGTTATCTCAGGCCTCTGTAAAAATGGTCGGTTAGATAAAGTAATGCAGTTTATTGAAGATATGGTTGGGAGTGGGTTAGCTCCAGATCAGATGTTGCTGACGACCATTATGGATGCATATTTCAAAGCGAATTTAAAAGCAGCTTCAGGTGTCTACGGGGAATTGTTAGTAACCCTCCAATTCTTTGCTCTCCTGCGAAGAACCTCACAGTTCCCAACTCCCTTTACCTGCAACAAGCTCCTACATAGCCTCATTAGATCCAACTGTGGAGAGCTCTCAGTGAAAATCCTCTGCCACTTGCTCTCTAAAGGGTACAATCCTCATCCCTCTTCATTCAATTCAGTTATCTCCTTTTTCTGTAAATTGGGTCATATTAGTTTTGCCCGAACACTCGTGGATTCGATGCCAAGATATGGGTGCTTGCCTGATATTGTAACTTACAATTCTTTGATTGACGGGTATTGTAAATTTTGTGATATTGATGAAGCTTGTTTGATAATGAGAAAGATACGCATAGGAGGGTGTAGACCTGATTTGGGTACGTTTAATATATTGTTTAACGGATTTTGTAAGGTCAAAATGAAGAAAGAAGCATTTGTCTATATGGGTTTGATGTGGAAGAGATTTTCACCGAATGTGGTTACATATAGTACCTTTATAGACATGTTCTGTAAAACAGGGGACTTGGGTTTGGGTTATAGGGTGCTTGGTGATATGGTGAAGGATGGGGTGTTGCCGAATTTGTTTGCTTTTACTTCTCTGATTGATGGGTATTGTAAGGCTGGTAATTTGGAGGTTGCATTTGAATTGCTTGAGAAAATGAGACAATCGTCATTGTTACCAAATGTGGTTACTTATAATGCTCTAATTAAAGGGCTTTGCATGCAGGGGATGTCGGAAAGAGCCGATTATTTGTTTTCTAAGATGTGGGAAGATGGGGTTGAGCCTAATTCAGCTGTTTACACTTCAATAATAGATGGGCACTTACAGAAAGGAAATGTGGATGATGCTATGAAGTATATGAGAAGAATGCATGATCAAGGGTTTAACCTTGATGTAGCTGCATATGGGGTGGTTATCTCAGGCCTATGTAAAAACAGCCGATTAGATAAAGCAATTCAGTTTATTGAAGATATGGTTTCTAGTGGGTTAGTTCCAGATCAGATGTTGTTAGCGACCATCATGGATGCATATTTCAAAGCTGGGAATTTAAAAGCAGCTTTGGGTGTCTACAGGGAATTGTTAGAAAGGGGTTTCGAACCTGATGGTGTGACTCTTTCAGCCTTGATGGATGGCTTATGCAAGCATGGGTGTCTGAAGGAGGCAAGAGGCTACTTTTGCAAGGAAAAAGCCAATGAAATTTCATACTCTGTGCTTATTAATGGGATGTGTAAGGAAGGAAACCTAAGTGAAGTTGAGAAGGTCTTCAGGGAGATGTCAGAGGCAGGGTTTATTCCAGACAAGTATGTATACACTTCTTGGATTGCTGGTCTATGCAAACAGGGTTGTCTGCCCGAGGCTTTTCGACTCAAGAATAAAATGGTTAAAGAGGGCATTATACCCGATCTGTTAACTTATAGCTCGCTTATTTTTGGTTTAGCAAATGCTGGACTCATGATTGAAGCAAAACAGGTATTTGATGATATGTTGAAAAAAGGAATCACACCTGACTCTGCAGTCTTTGATATTCTGATCAGAGGCTATCACAAGGAAGGTAATGATGCTGCCATTTCAAGCTTGTATGATGAAATGAGAAAGAGAGGGCTTGTAGATGGAGAACATTAATTTGTAATAGCATGTAAGGCTTCGCTGGTTCCATATGATCAAGTCAATTCCTTGCAGAAGGACCTAATTTTATCCGCCGCTATGTTTGGTGAACATGTGCAATATGATTCGTACAAGTCTATTCGTCCCAATTGAAATTCATGGACAAAGTGGTCTGCCTACTCTATATTTCAATCAGGAGCAAAACTAAGGTTATACCTCTGATCTTGTACATATCTTTTCTTTTTTTGATCGGGCTGATCTTATACATATCTTTGTCTGTAGAATTGTTTCGTCTAATGTGCTAAATCATTTCATCTTTTGTGTCGTCAGCTCTTTCTGTAAGCTTGAAGGATGTTTGGCACTGCTGTTGAACATCGACACATGTAACGGTAAGGTCATCGCTCATTGATTCTGATTAGCAAGCTTTTCATCAAATGAAGGAAATGCTCATTTCTTATATTTCCTCATTTGTTTTTGCTGGTTTAGCCATTTGATTTTGCTATTGGTGTGTATTGGCCGATGTTTTATCGGCTCAGAGATGCTTGCAAACATATCAGGAAATGCTGCCATTTTCATTAGGCATGCCTCGTTCGTTGAGCAGCTGGCAACTAGCATGGCCTTGGCAAACTCTCGAGTGAATCTGATAAACTGAGCCTCAACAACAAAAAGACCCAAGACTAATGTGGTTTCTGATTGTTCTACTGAGACAATGTCCGACTGAGTTTGAATAATAAAATGTAAGGTTGTGTCCAACATTTTACGCAATGGCGGTTTGTATTACATGTATGTAATCAACTAAAGGCAATATTACAATGAAAGAAAAGGATCTTACGCGATTTTCAACTGTATATCTAAATTTGGACCACCCACCCTTCTTGTCATTATTTTTTGTGTGTTCATTTTAGATTTAGATCTGATGTACTACAACATTATGCACCACCCTTACCTAGAAAAAGAAAAACAAAAAAAGTAAAAGATGCAACTGAATAAAAGTAAAAAACGTAAAAAACAGAATCAAAATATATAGGAAAAAGAAGGATAAATTAACCATCTGAAAATTTTACCAAACCAAAAATAAATAAATAAATATTTGTAAGATAGGTTGTTTGTGAGCATCGAACTTTACAAGCCCAATTACATTAACGTTGATGCACATACGTGCACCAACCATCGCTGCTCTCATAACCGTTTTTTCTGTTTATTCTATATTTCTCTCTCTCTCTCTCTCTCTCTCTCTCTCTCTCTCTCTCTCTCTCAGATTCCATCTGCTAACCTAAACCCACATCAAATCTTTGATCTAAACACTCACTAGTGATCCCGCATTGCCTTCTCAGATCCAAACCTTCTTCTCCCACTAACCCACATTTCCTCTCGCAGATCTTCGATCGTCGGTTTAATTTGATCTTAGATCAATGGCCAGATTGGAGAGCTTGATCGGCCTGGTCAACAGAATCCAGCGAGCCTGCACCGTTCTAGGCGATCATGGCGGTGAGGGTTTGTCGCTCTGGGAAGCTCTTCCTACCGTTGCCGTTGTTGGAGGCCAGGTCTTTCTCTGCCACCACTTCATCCATGTCCTCTGTTTTGATAACTTCTAATTTTCGTTTAAAATAAAATTCGCTTGGGTTTTTGATTTTCAATGCTATCATATCTTGTTGTGGAAACAGAGTTCTGGAAAGTCATCGGTTTTGGAGAGCGTGGTCGGGAGAGATTTCTTGCCTCGTGGATCCGGTAATTCGCACCTCTTCAATTTTTTTCAAAGATGTTTGCTTTCTTTTTTTATTTAATTTTTTTTTACTTTGGTTGTGTTTATGGTTACTTGAAAACTAAGCAGAATGTCAGATGCAGTGTGGGTTTTTATTTGTTTATAACTTTATATATCAGATTCTGCTTAGTAAAACATTTAAAGCTCATTTAAAGCAAAGCTATATGATTTGCACTAAGCTCAGTGGAGTGGAGGCTATCCCTTCATGAATCCCAAATTGATAAAATATGCCATATATTGCTTTTCTTCTTACATTATCTTTCTTTGGTCGCAAGGTATTGTGACAAGGAGACCGTTAGTGTTGCAACTTCACCAGACGGATGAGGGACGGGCTGAATATGGAGAGTTTCTACATGCACCTAAGAAGAAGTTCACTGATTTTGGTATGTCAACGTTTAATGCAAGGTGCATTTTCTCTTTGGCTATTAATGTAAAGGTGAATTCTTTGAGCTAATGATAATTGCATTTAAGGGATAATTATGTAGTTCCCATAGGATTGGATGGTAGTGGTTTAAGTTACATTGATATGCCCCTTTTGTCTTTCTTCTTCCTTTTTATTTTTTAGTTTCTTCTTGGTTCTTACACTGAACAATGAGTATTACTGTTTGTTATTGCAGCTTCTGTACGTAAGGAGATCCAGGATGAGACTGATCGTATAACTGGGAAAACAAAACACATCTCCAACATTCCAATTCATCTCAGCATATATTCTCCAAATGGTTTGTATTTTCATTTCCTGCGATGACATTATGGATGGAAATCGTTTAATAAGTCCAGATGCTTTTTATTTACTTATTATCTTCTGTTATTCCTTTGTTGACTGGTATTGTTAGATATTGTTAACAATACCTGTTAGTTTGAATTGCGTGGTAATAAGTTTATTTGTGTGGCAGTTGTAAACTTGACACTTGTAGATCTTCAAAGGTGGCTGTAGGTATCTATCTCTCTGTCTCTGTCTCTCTCTCTCTCTCTCTCTCTCTCTCTCTCTCTTCAGTTTGGTAAGAGCTTCGTGAAAATTTTCTTGATTTGCAGAGGGACAACCAGACACCATTGTTGAAGATATTGAGAATATGGTCCGTTCTTATGTTGAGAAGGTGAATATACTTTCTTTGCTTTGGTTAAAGTGTAACTAGTAAAGTATGCAGGTCAATGACAACGAGTGAAGTGACAAAAAATACCCTTACAAAGCGAAAAAAAAAATACTTGGAACAATTACTATCAGATGATTGAGAATTCGATATACATCTTTGATAGCATAGCACATGCCAAATTACATCTGATTGACGTACTATACTATCTGTTACATCTGATGATTGGAGAACTTTCAACTATCAAGCATTGGGTAAACCAAGACATGTGCCTAAGACCTTACAGGTCATTACTTCTCGATCACCTGATTGACATAAATCCGAAGAAGACGGGTGACATTTAGGTGGCCCACAACGAATGACCTGTGAGGTCTGAGGTACACGTCTGGGTTTACCCAGTACTGGTTCTTAAGGACATGACTATTCCTTTGCCGGTATAATGTTGTTTGCATGATCAATTTATCATTCATTACTTATCTTTTACCACTACTGTACTCAGTCTAATGGACTTATTCGATTTGTAGCCTAACTGCATTATATTGGCTATATCACCTGCTAATCAAGATATTGCCACTTCAGATGCCATCAAACTTGCAAAAGAAGTCGACCCTACAGGTAATATGAACTATACCTGGAGAGGCTACAACACTTTTTTCACCTTAGTTCATTGTTTATCAAAAGGAATGCTTGGTTTACAAGGCAAGAAAAACTTACTTCTTTCCTATTATGTTTGGCATTTTTAGGTGAAAGGACATTTGGAGTGCTAACAAAACTTGATCTGATGGACAAGGGAACCAACGCTCTGGATGTAGGGATCCAATCATACTCACTACATAATTGACCAGACAAAAGTTACTTGATTATAGAAGTGCACTATTTTAACTTTCATGAATCATGCTTGTTACCTTTCGGTCTTTATTTCTTGGTTGTTACCTTACTTCTGGTGGTGGCCATAACATCACACTAATGGGTACTCTTTTTGAATGTTTAAGGTTATAGAAGGAAGGTCATATAGACTGCAACACCCATGGGTTGGAATTGTGAACCGTTCACAAGCTGATATCAACAAGAACGTTGACATGATTGCTGCTCGTCGGAAGGAGAAAGAATACTTTGAAACTAGTCCTGAATATGGACACTTGGCGCACAAAATGGGCTCAGAGTATCTTGCCAAACTTTTGTCTAAGGTCTTAGTTATCAATAATTGTCTTTATCTGGCTTGATATTTGCACATGATAATGTTATTGAAACAGCTTTTTCCATTGCGTCTTCCTTATCAGCATCTGGAGATTGTCATCAGGCAGCGTATACCTAGTATCATTGCTTTGATAAATAAGACCATTGATGAGCTTAATGCCGAGCTGGATCGTATAGGCAGGCCAATTGGTGTAGATTCAGGGGTAACGTTGTTGACCTTGTAGAGTCAAGTTTTCTTCTTTATGACAGGTTTCACTTACTTGTGTTACTATATTTACAGGCCCAGCTATACACTATTTTAGAACTATGTCGTGCATTTGACCGTGTATTTAAGGAACACCTGGATGGAGGGTAAATTTCATGACCTCTCTGCAACATGTATTGGTTGTTCAAGTTGAAAATTCTGTAGTCTCCGAGGTTCCATGTTGACATTGTGTGTGATTTGATTTCTCAGCATACTAGGGTTGTTCTTCTGAAAACATGTGCTCTTGATTCATTGATTGAGTTTTTGAACCAAACCCTTGGAGATAGAGAACTTAGCATGGTTCTATGAAGGAACATGCTATCAAGTTTAAACTGTCTGTTGTGTTCTACATCCAGTATTTTACAACTGTAGAGCTTACCTATGAAGTTGAGTTTTCCATTTTATGAGCACATTACTCGTTGTTTGTCCAGAATCTTCATCAAATACTTTAAAATGAGTTTACGCTAGGACTCTGCAGATTTACAACTTATGATTTGGCTTCATTTGCAATACTCTGCCCCTTCATTTCTTGGGAAAACTTAAACTATTTAGGCTTCACTAGACGTATTAGTAATTGCAAGAGTTGCAAGAAAAGTGGGTAATTTTTAGAATTGCACAGCGTGTGGTGGATAAAGAAAACCCTTGAAAGAGAATCACCACCCATGTACTTGTTCATGGTTTGAATATCATGAAGTTATGATGAGTTCTGAGTTTGATTTGAGACAAGTTCTATGTAGTATAGGTTTGATATCTGAAAGAAAAAGTATCTTACTTATTTCCTAATATATATATATTAATTATACGTTGCTACTTCAGGCGACCTGGTGGAGATCGAATATATAAAGTTTTTGACCATCAATTACCGGCTGCCTTGAAAAAGCTTCCCTTTGATCGTCACCTCTCTTTAAAGAATGTCCAAAAAGTTGTTACTGAGGCTGATGGCTATCAGCCCCATTTGATTGCTCCAGAACAAGGATACCGAAGACTCATTGACGGATCTATTGTCTATTTCAAAGGACCAGCTGAAGCCTCTGTGGATGCTGTAATGTTCTTTTTTTTCTTTCACTTGCTAAGATGTAGTGAATATCAACAATGTATCCTGTGTTTATCTGAGTATTTTTCACTCCATTGCTTTCTAACAGGTGCACTTTGTTTTGAAAGAACTTGTACGGAAGTCAATAGCTGAAACAGAGGTATTTTTACAATTTTACATGTGATTTAAGCAGTTTTATGCAAAATCAGTCTGCACCAGTGCTTTTACTTTGCCACAGTTGTGCGTGAGTCAAATAAATTAAATTTTCATTTATCTTAGTTATGCTCTCATTCATGAATCCAGAGGGGGCTATCTACATAACTTTGGGATGCCCAACAGTCAACATTTGGATGGAACTTATTTGTAATGGTGCTACTTTATGGAAATTGCAGGAATTGAAACGATTCCCTACACTTCAATCTGATATTGCAGCAGCTTCCACAGAAGCGTTGGAAAGATTTCGTGATGAAAGCAGGAAAACAGTTACACGGCTGGTGGAAATGGAGTCTAGTTATCTGACAGTCGAATTTTTCAGAAAGCTTAATCTTGAATCAGACAAAGGTCCAAATCAAACAGGACCAAATGCGGACAAAAACTCAAAAGAACCAGTACAAAACATGGACCGTTTTGGAGATAATTATCTCAGGAGAATTGGTATGAAAAATTCAAGACTCCATACACTCTCTTACTGGCTAAGGCGTAAATTCATTACAATTTTTATTTTTATGTTTTGCTGAGATGAAATATATTTGTATCAGCATCAAATGTCAACTCTTACATCAATATGGTTTGTGAGACGCTGAGGAATTCGATTCCCAAGGCTGTTGTTCACTGTCAAGTTCGAGAGGCCAAGAGATCGCTGCTCAACCTCTTCTACGCCCAAATTGGGAGGCAAGAGGTGAGTTTTTCACTTTTCAAAGCCAACTCTTTTTGGTGAGTTAGAAGAGAAGTCGATGACATATAATTTATGTGTTCCCTTTGGTGTGTGCAGAAGGAGAGGCTTGGTGCAATGTTGGATGAGGATCCAGCGCTCATGGAAAAGCGAACAAACATTGCCAAACGGCTTGAACTATACAAGTCAGCTAGAGATGAGATCGATTCTGTAGCATGGAAATGATGGAGCCACATTACATTGCATGAGGCTGCTCATACTAGATTTGACATGACAAAATACCAGATTTGGACGTGCTTATTCTTCTTTCTACTTGAAATAAGAAAAACCCACAGGTGCTGCAAGAGCTTGGATTTGAATTGAACTTGCACGTGATTCTTTCACCCACTTTTTTTCTTCATTGAACATAAACTTCAACTCAATGTACAATTATATGATTCTTTCTTAACAGTTATTGGTTCCTTACATTTTTTTTTCCACACATTTTATGATAATCAGCATCTCATGTGATGGATCATATTATATGAGAGAAACATATTGAAAATATTTGTTCAACTTCAAATTTACAAATTAGAAGTTTCAAAGGTAACAAAGACTGAATCGTATATAAGGCCATCTCATGAATCAATCCATCAATGATCTTTTGCAACGAAATGAATCAATCCAAAATTGTAAAACCCAGTACTTCATATAACCTTACAAAAAGAATAATGAGGCTCACATTCACAACCTATGCTCACAATGTAAATGTACAGCCCAAGTAACAAACCATGATGTTATCTTTATACATTGCAGTACAAATCTAAGCAGGAACGGCACACATACTTCAAAAACACCCAATTTCAATGCAAAATGAAGCCAATAACTTACGAGGAAGAAACTCAACTTGCACAGATCACGAAATAAAATTTTCTTCTAGAGTGGTTGCTGCAGATAATCATGTAATTCTGCTAACTCTGCTGCCTGGCTGGCCGGCCAACCAGACTCAAAATAAGTCTATCAGAGGTCTCAGTCCTGCCGGCTTGCTAAGCACAACTCATGTAAGTCATTAAGTATCCACTCCTCACCTGTGTGCCCACCCAATACCAGGACCCTAGTACCGCCAACCACGCAAGTGCTATGACCCCAAGCAAATTTAGGTGGTTGCCCCGGAACGTTGAGAATTCTCCATGATGGTTTCTCTTCTGAAGGATCCAAGAGGAAAAGCTGAGAAGGAGAATGCAGCCCAGCGATTGAACCACCGAAGATAATGATCCTTCCACAAGGCATGCTGACAGCAACGTGATCAAGTCTAGGAGGGGGAACCACAGCACTCTGGCTGCCTATGCTGGTGAACGCATTACACTCAAGTTGCCTCCACTGAGGGTTTTCATCTTCCAAATCAATAGTGTAAGTCTCACCTGATCGTAACCTCAAGTGCCCACTGTTGGCAAGTCCACCAAACATGAGAATCTTTGATCGACCATAAACTGAAAGTGAATGCCCCAACCTAGAGGGAGGAGCCCATGAAGTTGGAATCTCTTTCCATGTTGGGTGGTCTGTTGTGAGATCCAATAAGTATGTGTCACTAAGAAGTACCCCAGCATCTGTGCATCCACCTGACACAACTAATTTAGACCCTTCTACTGTGCAAGAGCTATGCCAGGATCTAGGAAGAGGGGGAGTTCCACCAAAAATTTCTTTCCATGTTGGCTGTTTGGCATCCAAGTCAAGAATGAAAACATCATTGAGCAATCCTTCCCGCCCACAGCCTCCAAAAACTACCAACCAAGAACCATTCAAGCACGAAAGAGTGTGGCCCCAACGCCCTGGTGGTGATGATTTCACACTTACTCGACGCCACTCTGGATCGGCAGCATCAAGATTGAGAACAAATGTGTCATCCATTGGCTGCATATCAACTCCTTCCCCTCCAAACAGTACAAGTCGATTTCCTACAGCACAAGCACTGAAATTGCATCGTGAAGGCTCCACGGCACCTCCAATTGTAAATTTCCTCCAACAAACAGCCTCAAGAGTTGTCAGTTCCCTGGCCAGACGCCCCCACCCTAACTTATTAGTCATCAATTCCAATGTACCGGTAACTTCTCTTCCCCATGCATTTTGACATACCATCTTTCTTACATGCTCATTTTTTGTTAGTTGACGGATTCTTCTGCAGACAGAACCAATGGATGCCACATCCCTGGGAGTCAAGCGTGATAAGATGTTGTGAGCCAAGACTTCATCGGAGAGCTGAAGAATCCCACATATTTCTTGATACTGGGTGAAAGGTGTTTGTCCACTCATGAGAGAATATTTACCAGATTGATCATACCGCTGATTGCATGTCTCTTTATAAACTGGATATGATACACTGCTCAGATCTATTTTTGCTTCGGAAAATACTTGAATGCCTATGATGTGTGTAACAGTTCCATTATCATCATGTATAGGTTTCAGTCTTAGCCTATTCACCAAGGGAGTTCCATCCTTCCTGAAATTAAGAAGCTCGCCTTGGAACTCAACCCCTTCCTCGAGACACCTTCTAATCTCGGAAACAACAACAGGATCTACCAGAGGATGCCGTCTTTGAGCATGAGGGTCCCTATACTGTAGGAATCGACTGAAACAAAACATTTTGTTTAATTGACCAAGACAAATTCTGAAATAGTTTATCAGCAAAATAGATTATCGTATGACAGATATGCAAATGAATGCATACACGGATATTAGTTACATGAATCAGCTCAACAAACTTTAAAAAAAAATGTAAACAACATTGAATTAATCCATAGAATCCTACGGAATCATTCCTCGAAAAATACAAAATCAGCACTATTTTGGATATAAGGTTCAAAGTTCTCCAGTTGACTATCATGACATCACAATCACTAGAAAGCAAAATTTGAATCAAATGTTTCCCTCATAGATGACAATTTAAAGTTGCAGCCTCTCAGGAAAGTTTTGTATTGTCATGCTCAACCTAACTCAAAGAATTAGATCAAAAGGAACACACAGTTCTCCTTAAAGTTCAAAATCCAGCAGGGGATTTTGCTGAAGAGTGCGGAATGACCGATACCTTCAGCAAAAAAAAATCACATCATCCAGAACAAATTCTAAAGGTTGACTTTGAAGCAACATTTCATCATTTTTGAGCGAGACGTCCATTTTGTTCTACATTTGTAATTATATATAACATCCAAATCTACTCTCTTGCATATTTCCACAAATTCTCTTTAAAACCCTTAAAAAAACAACTCTCTTGCATCATTTTCCCGAACACAGAAAACAAGCAAAACAGGAAAAAGAAATTAGAAAAAAATGACTACCAGTTCCGACCGAGGACCTCGTGGGCGCAATAGCCGGTGAAGGTCTCGAAGACTTTGTTGACATAAATGATAGGACTATCGGGCTCCAGAGCATCTGAGACCACAAACGATGCGGGTTTCATTGGGTAAACTACCATCCCTAGCTTCAACGCCAGCTCGCTCTCCTCCTCCTCCTCCTCTTCTTCTTCTTCTTCTTCTTCTTCTTCTTCTTGAGGTTCCTCGTATCTGCTACATTTCAGTCTCTTTGCGAAGTTTTGAATTTCCTCCGCTTCTTCTTCTTCTTCGTATTTATTTGGCATGGCCATGCTTCAAGCTCTGCTCTTTCTTTCTCTGCCTCTCTCTCTTGCTCCAAAGGATGGTCGGTGTTGTTGGCTGTTGGTGTGCATCTACTCAAAATATCTCATTTTATTTTAATTTATAGCTTTAATTTGGAATTCATCTGACAAAAATGCTCTGTTTCAGATCATTATTTGCAAGAATGCCACCAAGATATTTATGACCCATGGTGCAAATAGTAAACCAAAGACTAAGCCGACCACATGGGGAGTGGCAGTGCCGGTAGTTTAAGAAAGATTGGAGGGTTGAAGTAATAACAAGAGTCCACGTAGGTGGAATAGGCAATACGTGTCTAGCTGATATTTTCTAGGAAAATATCTTGGCCAAACTTGGCCACCCTATAGCTTCCACGTCATGCGTTTGTTGTAGAAGATATTTTGTTGCGTTGGGTTTTGCGTAAGCGATTTGGCGGTGCTCGTGCCAATATCATATACATTGGACCCTACAATTAGACCCTAAGCATGCTTAAAAGAGTTACAAATTTAAATTCCATTGTCAAATTGTAAATATCTGTATGAATTTCAAATTCTTAATCTGCAGTAACCTTTCATCCATTACAGTCATTTATGAAATTTGAGCTCAGAATATTTTATAATCAAACAAAAATAAATAAGGATAGCGATATAAAATGCTGTAAATTATTAAACATTTTTCAACTTCGTACATGATTTGTTTGACATTTACAAAACTATATTATAATGGCCGCCCTACGTTTGTGGTATAAACACGAAATAGCGCATTCTTAGGCCTTCTATTAAAATTAGATATCTTACAGACAATTTAAAATAAGGTTTACTTTGAGATTTAATGGTGAAAATTCAAACGGCTGATCAGTCCATGCATGCATGATGAATTTTGTACTGATGTAACTTCTAAGTAGCTCCTAGCAACTCTCTGACGAAACCTTGTTCTGACTAATCTAGTATGTGGCCAACGGGGTCTAGTCCAGTGAACAAGAGTATTGACGACTTGCATATTAGAAGTCTTAGGTTCGAACACCCATGACATCATAGTTGTGTGTGTGTGTGAGAAATCCTCATTCCTGTAATTTAGACTATCGTTTGTGTTAAAAATAAAATAAAATAATAATAATAATCTAGTATGTGATGTGTCATGCAACCCCTTGTTTATGTGCCCTCTGACATGGGGCATGGCACTTGACTTTCAGTTCAGTTGCAGGAGGTGTTTGCTTGTATTTGATTAATTTGTTTGTAGATTTACAGGCACATCTGAATGATATGTGCATTGTGGCTTACCAGACATGAATTGAGTATATATTTTGCAGCAGAGAGAAAGAGAGAAGGATTTCTGCATAATTATTGAATTCACATTTAATTTAGTAAAATTAGGCAAATCAAAGTAAAATAAAATCATTCATCTCTCTCTCTCTCTCTCTACTATATATACATTTGTAAATTGGGTGGTAGAGTAGTGCTCTTAAACGCTTCCCATGTTAGGCCCTTCTGCAAGTATTCTATATTGGAAGGGTCAAAAGGCCCTTTAACCCTGTCTATAGACTTTATCACTGCTCTTGCAGGAAGAATGCTCTTTGATGGGTCCGGTGAAGTCCTATAGCTCAAGCATGAAGAGAATCCCTGAAATAATTATCAGGTAAATGTCATCATAACTATTCATAAGCAATGTTTAGGCGGGCGGCAGACGAATGCTGTCACCTATCTCCTAGAGAAGTAATCGGGGCCAAAGTGATTTGCTTTCTTAGTAAATGTGCTTAAAAATATAGGCAAAGTTTTAGACAAATGCTGTTACCAATCCACTTTTGAATATAGTGGCACCAAAACAAACCAAATATTGACCGCCACCACTAAAAGATAAAAGAAATTGAAAATAATTAGAAGCACACCTTGAAGATAAGCACTTGCACATCTTGGTCATCCACCACTGCATGCACAATAAGTGCTTCTCCTCTCACACTCTGACTATATAATTCCAACACTGCTATCTCCTTGTGATGCCCGTACTCTTCCTCCTCCTCATCCTCACCATCATCATCATATCTGACGGCTCTCCGCCTGGCAGCGCAGCAAATGCTCAAGGCCCTACTTGGTCTCAAGATATGCAAAGCGTCAGCTGAGGCAGAGCACGTTCTGAAATATCTGCTATCTGCTGCAGATTTGGAGGAGGTGGGCTTTGGAGAAAATGGTAATTTGGGTGAGGAGGAGATAAGCATAACCCATCTTCCCGATTGGAAGTGCTTCAACATCATAATTATTGGATTTGGGAAATTGATGAGTACACAACTTTGATCCTTGAATGAAGATAAGGGTCGGTCCCAGTCGCGCGGTTGGGTGCAATTTATTATCAAAGACAATCTGAAAGCCCATCTAAAAGATACGAAAATACAGAGGCCCAAGCCACTGTGGACCACCAAGTGTGGGCCAAGACCCCAACCACATTTGGTAAACTTACCCATCACGTCACTGGATCAGCAAATCTTACTATATTTCCTCTTTTATTTTTCTTGCCCTCTACGCGTACGCCTCGGCTTTCTTTTCAACGGTTGAATCAAAATCTTAACAAAAAGGAAAGAAATGATTTCAGATTTTTCATTCCTTTTTTATTTCCTTTGATTGTGTTATTTTGAATACTGATCAACCATATTTTGACTTCTTAATTATGGTTAATTTTTATGAATCAAGGCTTATTACTCGTGTGTACATAAAAAATTATTGCATGTGGAAGTAAAAGTTTGTCTGGTTGGTCGAATAATATCGTAGTAATTTTGTTTTAAAAAATCATATCGAAGAAAAATAAAAAAGGCATTTTCTTTGTGTAATACGGGTTAAATATGAATTCAACAAAAAATTGTTTATTATATATGTGTTTTTACAGAAATTTATTGTTGACCAGAGAAGATGGACAATTTATGTTAATTCATATTAAGTGTTAAATAATTTTTTGGGGGCCAATTTACATACATTGTCATTGAGCGCAAACCGGCTGTGACTGGGACAGTGCCGAGCGTCTTCACGGCCGCAAAGGCGCACGCGACGCGAACGTAGCACTGCGAGCTGGGTCCCACAGGCCCACACTCACTCTATCTCTGACTCTTATTAACTGCCCCCAACTTCAATTATTTCTCTTTTATTAAAAACAATCATTCAAAGAAACAAAATAAAAACGTTATTTTCTTTTCTTTTCTTTTCCTAGCGTTATCTTCTTCACCCCCAATTGGTATAAACCCACCCTACTCCCCCTTTGCTTGTCTCTGACAGTAAACTATCATAATTCAAACACCATTTGGTCCAATTCTCTTTCTTTGATCGTTCCCCTGAACCCTAACTCCGAACTCTAAGGTTTCCCCTCACGGATCTCGTTCCAATTGATTCCACTTTCACTCTTTGCAGCCATTTGAAATGGGAAATTTCTGTCCATTAGGGTTTGATCATTAGTGTGTGTGTCTGTTTATCCTTGTGGTGGAGGTGGTGGTTATGGCTGCTTTGCAGAGAGTGGCGCAGTCAAGCGTGAGCACTACTGCGAGTAGCTACGGTTCGTGTAAAGGTGGTGCTGCTTCGTCCTTTTCTGCAGCCAACGAAATGGCGGTCTCCGATCGGTTTCCGGCGGGCTTAAGGGTTCTGGTGGTCGACGATGACACCACTTGCTTGAGGATTCTTGAGGTGTTGCTTGGCCGGTGTGCCTACCAAGGTATGTCGTTGATCTTTTTCTTTCTCAATGATGGGTTATACTTTCGTTCCCTGTTGGGTTTCCTTCCAAGTGTGGTTAGGTGCTATGAGTTGATTTTCTTATGATTGTGAATGGGTGGTGGTGCTACTGATTCTTGCTTGTTTACTTTGCAGTTTGGTCATTTTTGTAATACTAGTTTGTAGTTTGTGAAAAAAACTGCATGGCGTTTTTGTTAAACCTAGTATTTTTCTGGTCTGGTTCAGAGAGTAGAAAAAACAAAATTTTCCTGATATATAATATATTTCTTATCTCATATATTAATGTTTCTTGCAGTTACCGCTTGCTCCCAGGCTACTGTTGCTTTGAATCTTCTACGAGAGAGGAAAGGCTGTTTTGATGTGGTACTGAGTGATGTTCATATGCCTGATATGGATGGATTTAAACTCCTGGAACATGTTGGGCTGGAAATGGACCTTCCTGTTATCAGTGAGTATAGGAATTATATATATTAAGAAATTTGGTCATCGAATTATGCTTATTTGTATTAACCCGACGCTGTATTAACAGTGATGTCTGCTGATGGGAGAACAAGTGCTGTTATGCAAGGAATTAGACACGGGGCCTGCGATTATTTAATTAAGCCTATACATGAGGCAGAACTCAAGAATATTTGGCAGCATGTTGTTAGGAAAAAATGGAACGGAAATAAAGAACTTGATCATTCTGGGAGTTTGGAAGATAATGATCGGAATAAACGAGGAAACAGTGATGTTGAATACACATCTTCTGTTAATGAAGGAACAGAAGTAATATTGAAAGGTCCGAAGAAGAGGAGCAATGCTAAAGAAGATGATGATGGTGATATGGAAAACGATGATCCGTCTACCTCGAAGAAACCTCGTGTAGTGTGGTCAGTTGAACTCCATCAGCAGTTTGTCAGTGCTGTGAACCAACTTGGTCTTGATAGTATGATCTTTAACTTTTTACCTTGTATTTTGGTTTTATTACAATCACACACACACACACACATATATATATAGGATGAGGTGCTATAGTTCAGTAAATGTTATTCTTTATAGCACATGATGTGTTATGGCGTAAACGTTGTGTCACCGAAAACATCTTATATGTGGACCATTTGGGATTTCTTTGGTTTGTGCATGTTTGAAAATAAGTAAGTTCACCAACTTAATATTTGAGGAATCTGGGAAGTGGGGCCGTCCAGTGGAGACAGATGATTTTCAAGTACAAGTTACATATAACTAACCATAAGTCATTTGACTCCAAAGTGATAATTCTTGGTGTAATTTGGATTTCAGTGAAATTTTACCTCCACCCTGCAAGCGTATGAACGAGATTTATTTACATGATACTTTTCTTTTAAACGAAGAGAAAAATTTATGTCTAAGAGTGTAGCCTTATAGTATTATCTCAGAAATCATAATGTGAATGCTCAATCCTTCTTTCCATTACCACTGATCATAATTTGTTTTTCCTATGTCAGAGGCTGTACCAAAGAGAATTCTTGAATTGATGAATGTACCTGGTTTAAGTAGAGAAAACGTTGCAAGTCATCTACAGGTCTTGTTCTTCCCCTCATATTAATCTCATAGCTTTGATTGCTTTGGTGTTTTTGTCATTGTCATTGAAAGACACATAAAAGAATTGGAGGAATTAGATATATGCAATTATTAATATCATAACTGAAAGAAACTGAGTACGATTATGCATTACACGCATTTCAAAATCATCAGTTTATCTATTTTAGAAACCCAGCGTGAATTATGAGAACAACAATGCTAGTTATTTGATTTATTCTCCACACGCACATGAGAACATCCAATCCATTGAATACTATCATATTTCATAGGGAAAGAAGTAGTAAGTTCACCATAATCCAATTAAGAATCTTTATTTCTTATTATCTGACTATCAGTAATTTTGCATACAAGAATCTGACTCTGACTCTGATTCTAAGATGTGGACTCATATTTGAGAGTTTTATTCTAGCTTTTCTGTTTGATATCTCCATTGCGGGATGATCATCTCTTTCTGAAAAGAAAAAAAAAAACCATGTGAAATTTTATTTTATCTTGCATTTACTTTAGACTTGTTCTTTTATACACACAGAATTTACTCAAATGCTTTATTGGTTTTCCTACCAAAATTTAAACGAATAAGTGAATGTGCAGAAATTCAGATTATATTTGAAGAGATTAGCGCAACAACAAAGTGGGATTTCAAATGGTTTTTGTGGGCCTGTGGAATCAAATGGGAAACTGGGTTCGCTTAGTAGATTTGACATCCAAGCTTTGGCTGCCTCTGGCCAAATTCCTCCACAAACACTAGCCGTCCTGCAAGCTGAGCTTTTAGGTCAACCTGCAGGGAACCTTGTGCCAGCAATGGATCAGCCTGCTATTCTACATGCATCTCTAGAGGGACCCAAGCGTGCTCCTGTTGAACATGGTGTGCCATTTGTGCAGCCTTTGATAAAATGCCAATCGAATGTTTCCAAACATTTTCCACAATCCATCATACCTGCTGAGGATGTATCTTCAGGGTTTGGATCTTGGCGGTCTAATAGTCTTAGTACCGTGGCACCAAGTAACAATCTCGGAGGGTTGGCTACTCACAATAGTAGCATGCTGATGGACATTATGCAGCAGGAACAAAGACAACATAAGAAAACGCAGCAGCAATCTGTGCTAACTGAATCTAGCCGTTTGATTAATGTGCAGCCGTCTTGCCTTGTGGTCCCCTCTCAGTCATCAACTAGTTTCCAGGCTGGAAATAGTCCTGCTTCTGTCAATCAGAGTTGCAGTTTTAACAGGTCTACTGTTATTGATTACAGTATTCTCTCGGCTCAATCTAATAATTCCTCATTGAATATTGGACATATACCAACTGGAAATCTTAAAACTCCCAGCATTCTTGATGGGTACTCAGCCCCTGGTTCTGTTTCTTCCACATCTTGCTCAGTTAATGCTGGCAATAACACCAGCCACCAGAACTCAGCTGTGCCATTTTGTGATTCTAGACAATTGCCTGGGGTTTTGCATGACATGTCAAACATCCAGGGTTTATATGTTGATAAATCAGGGGAAATGCTCGACCAGGGACCCCTTAGGAATCTTGGATTTGTTGGTAAAGAGACTGGCATTCCAAGTCAATTTGCAGTGGATGATTTTGAATCACAAGCGAGTCACTTGAACCATGGAAAGATCTATGTGGAGAACAATGGTAACCCAGTCAAGGAGGAGCCAAGTATGAATTTTGTGGATAATGCCAAAGTAGGCGTCCCAATATTACAAGAATTTTCTTGTAGTGATTTCATGAGTGTGTTCACTGAATAGGTAACTTTGGTATTATTCTATTTTCTTTTCTGCTCTGTCTTAGCACGTGCGTAAGAGTGTGTGCGTGTGTTTTTAGCTACCACCAGTTCTTTTCTCGGTGATTCTATTGAATGAGAATACACAAATGGACTGAATTGCGTCAAAAAGATTTGTGCTTTTGCTTGTTGATATTGTTAGCAATGCTAACAGATTTTGTTGGTTCATTATCTAATTCTCATTTTTATTTGCGCAGGCTTTTGTCGTGTGGTTAGCGGAAGTCTCTTGATTCCATGGCGCGTACAGATTATTTCATGTCATCAAATGTTCAGTAGAGATGGCAGTTGAGGTTGTGTATTATATCTATGATAGATCTAATTTCTGTGCCTGCACCAGAGTTGGGTGTAGAGCGGCCGTCCGTACCTGAGACTCAAAAACTGAGGACAAATCTCATTTGTGGGGGGTGGAGGTTCACTTTCATGGTAGGGTAGTATTATTGGTCTTTAGGGGAATAAATTGTGTCAGTGTCCAATATGATGATGGTATCTTGCCAACATCATTGTGTAGTTATTTGGATGTAGTGATGTTGGATTTGACGCGTTAGTTTATCACCCTTTAAATCATGAAGTTGTAGCATATATTTATATGAGTAATGCTATAATCATAGTTTTTAGTTTTCACATTTTGTTTTAGTTTTCACTTTTTGTACTAGAGTATAGAGGTAAAACAGGAGAGAATGGAAGCGAGAATGAGAGTGGAGATGGGATTGAGAGAGAAGAGAAGAGGAGGAAGGATGAATGAGTAAAATAGAAAGTGAAAAAAAAAAAAAAAAAAAAAAAAAAAGAAATCTGAAATTTGAAATTGTTTTCACTTTCAAGTTTCTATTTTCAGTTTTGTTACTCTTCCTTCCCCTTCTCATCGTCTTCTCAATTTACTCATCATTAATCTCATTTTCACTCTCATTTTTCTATTTACTCTGACACAAAAAATGAAAATGAAAAACTAAAATTAAAATAGTTATCACTCAACCCTAAACACCCACCACCTCCTCTACAGAGGAGGGTGCGAGACTTGCCGCCAAAGGAGGAGGAGCAAGTGGCGGCTGAAAGCCTTGACATCGTCGATCAGATTGGCCGAATAGAGTGGAGTGGGGTAGAGAGAGAGGAAGGCTTGTGCAATCGGTTTGGTGGGGGTGGGGTTGCTTGGGAAATGTATTGGGATAGGATGGGAGTGGTCTGTTGGGTTGGTATAGGAGTTCGAAAGGAAAAATTACTGATTATCGTTGGTCACCAAACCCACACCAAATCTCTGCAATAATGAAGGATGGGGATGGGTAAATTTAATGGAGGAAGAAGTTAGTGCCGGAGACGAGAAGTCCATGAACGATGTTAGGTTTTTTTATATAATTTTTTAAAACTTTTTTATTTAATAATTATTAAAAAGAGAAATAAATAAAAATTAAATCTGCATGACTACATTACCTGCCATATAAGATGGGAAGCTAACGTGGCAATCTTGTTTTTTAAGTAGCATTATTGTATTTATATATTGATATTGGCTAATCATGAAGTTGTAATGTAATTTGGTTCAATTTCACTAGATTTGAGGTAAGAGTTTGTTGGGCAATGGCCCATTGTTAGAGCATCTTCACCCACAAGGGCTAAGTTTAAGGTAAGGGTAAGCAAGGGCTGTCACTATTCACGTGAATAGTGTCAGCCTTTGCATTTGTGGTTCCACCCATGAGGGCAAAGTCTATGGCAAGTCTAATGCAATTACTATTCATTGTACTTTATTTCCTATTTGTTTATACTTTAAACCATTAATTTTGATAAGCTTTTTAGATTATATTTTCGGTTGTCACGTGTCACTATTTATTATAAAATTTTCACTTAAAATTTAAGATAACATTTTTCAAATAAAATTTTCAAATAAAATTTTTGGATAAAATTTTCGGTTACCACGTGTCCATATTTATTATAAAATTCACATCTCACTCATCATACAATTGAAATACCTACTCACTCATCATACAATTGAAATATTCTTGGTCCTCATATTCCGACACAATGGAATACAAGGACAACTCCATCATTGGTGGAGGCGGTTCCACCGGATCACGACGTAGGGGAGTATTTTCTTTCGGAGGACGTAATAGTGCCATTATTTCTGACACGGAACGCACCACTAGAACTGACTGCGGGCATTGTTCACTTGAGGAGCCATGTGTAATGGTTTTACTCTTTTTTGTTTTGCCTTGACTAATCTATTAAAAAAAAGAAATTGGAAATGCAAGAAATATATATATAAAAAAAGACATTAAATTGAATAAAATTTTTTTTTTTTTTTTTTTTTTTTTTTTTTTATTTTTAGCTCGTCTTTCATGATTTTGACCTCTTCAAACATTTGTCCACGACCCTTTGGCTTCGATGGAAGATGACATTTGTATTTTTGCACAAATGAAATTTTGTAGTACAAAATTTGGTGTGGAAAGTGAAAAATATTGGAAGGAGATGAGTTTTTATGAAGATTTGGTGTAGAAAGTGAATAAAATGGTTAGGTATTTATAGGGAAAAAATACATAATTTTTTTGTATTTAAAAAAAAATAATAGAAATTTTCATAATTTTTTCGAATTTTTTTAGCCAAAAAAACGAGGACTGTCAGATTTCTGGAAAAAAAGATCGAAGCGTCCCTGTCGCGACATGTGGCACTTAACCGTTGGATTCTGCCAGCGATGACGTCATGTTGACGTAAGCGCGAGGAAATCAAATTTTTTTTACCGTTGACGCGTGTAATTCAAACGCCAACAGTAAAAAAAATCTGTTTTACTATGCGCTGACGTCAGCGTGATGCCAGCGCTAACGTCACAAAACTCGGGCTTCAGCCTAGGCAGAAGTTGCCCTTGGGCTTGCTCGGGCTGGTGGGACCCACCACGAAACCGGGCTGCTTCTCTTGCGATGGAGCCATCTCGGGCTCGCCAAGGGGCCCTTTCCCCCAATTTGGGTCCTGCGCTGGACCTGCTCTTAGTACTTGTGCAGTAATTCAACAAAAGGAGAAATAAGCTACTGTTTCTGATAATCTGAAACTGGATATTCCATTCGAATCATGTGGCATGTATATATGAAAATGGAAGTTTAGAATATTGCCTTTTATTATTATTATTATTTTTAAGGAAGTTTGGTAGTCAATTTATGATGTCATTGTCTCTATATGTATAGTTCCTTTCTATACAAAAAATTTCAAAGATCCAAAACATCTATTTTTCACATTTTCATTCAGAAATCCTCCTTACACAGAGAGAGAGAGAGAGAGGAGAGAGAGAGAGAGAGAGAGAGAGAGAGAGATCCTTGTAGGCCTTACTACGCATTATATTACAATAATCCAAACTGTCTAGTTTTTAGATATTGACTAAAAGATTATCTCTGCAAAAAAATTCACTTGAATATGAAATCATTTAATTACTCAATTAGATGATTGTTATTATGGTCTTTTCTTGAAGCACGGTGTTCGTATATTTTGTTGGTCAAGATTAGATGCCTTAATAATTTTCAATTTGCATGATTTTTAACAAGAATTATCTGTGAATGAAGATTTAAAAAATAGATGGTTTAGATTGTTTAAATTTTTTTGTAAAGAACCCTAAAAGGTATCCCTCAAATAAATTTTTTTGAAGAATCGCACAATAGAAAATGAATATATATCCGTATGCATTATTGCTAGTTAACGAGTATTTAACTAGTACCACCCTCTTGGTGTGTACCTGCAAGACACCTAAACAAGGGCCATTCTTCATTCATAATACAATGCAGGCTGTCTGCAGCGTGTTGCTTGATTTTTTATTATGTTGAATGCGCAAAGCATGAGGATTTAGATTCGCTAATGAATATAATTATGGCATGTTTAGTAATCTGTAAGTAAATTAGGAGAAATTGAATTGGTGAGGAGTTGGATTGAGGAGAATTAGATTATGGATTTCTATTGAAGTTGTTTACTAAATCATATGAATTAAGGAGGAGTTGGATTGAGGAGAGTTAGATTCATGATTCCTATTGAAGTTGTTTATTAAACTATATGGAATTGGGATAAGAATGATACTAGTTACTAAAATGTTCTCGTTATTGGGTTAAAGTAGATTACAAATTTTTATGTGAGAATATAATGGATAAAAAAAGATAAATTCCTAATGGATTAGTTCTTTAAGAATTAGAATACCACATCCCACCCAATAATTGAATTTCTCCAAAATTAGGAATTCAATTCCTAATTTTTTGTGAGCACCACTTACTTTTTAATTCTTTGATGTGAAGTAAATAGAAGAATCCTCCATATATATAATTCAATTCTTAATTAGTAAACACACAATTATATCCAAATCAATCTTATTCTTATTGTTTAAAAATCATTTTGAATAAATTAGATAGGTTAAAATATGAGATATATGAAAAGAAATGACTCAGTTAACACTTGACAGTGATAGTCCAACTTTTGGGCTGTGTAAATTACCAAAAATAAATAATTATATATGAATATAAATAAAGGCCTATTTGGAAGTATATGAATCAAATTTGTGGTTCCTGGGCAAAGTCTGTTGCTGTGTATTTGTTTTTGACGTTCTCCCAATTTTCCATGAGAATCAAAAGATCAGAGATGCTTGTATTAGACGAGAGCCACTAACGACGAACCAGTATTGTATTGTCCATGTCATAATTATTGCCATTCTTATTTCTCCTTTACTAAATTACTAATACTATTCAGCCCCCCTGCTCCGCTTTGTCTTGGCTTCTAGAGGAGTACTCAGTAGGAAGTCTGTTTCGTCAACGCAAATCTCCATCAGACTGACACAAACACAAAGTTCCACCAGGCACCTCCTTCAAAGCCTCTCTCTCTCAAATCAAGTTTGAAGCTTTGATTGATCAAAGTTTTAACCTTTTGAACCTGAGTCAAAGACCCCTTTTTAAATGCTCTTACTTGAGTGCAAATCATTTTTTCTTCCTTTTTGAATCTCAGAAACCAAAAAGCTCTCTTACCCAGAAGTCCAAATGGAGAAAAACCAGGAAATTGCACTGACTGAGATGAGGAAATCAGTTCAAAAGCTCGGGACTTCCACAGAGGTAGGAATGTTTTGCCTTTCTCAAACAGTGTAGCATATACATCATTCACTTTTAGTCCTTTATTTCATGGCTTTTTCTTGGCAGAAATATGGAGACCCGACACTCATGAGGTTCTTGATTGCGAGATCAATGGACCCGGACAAAGCAGCAAAAATGTTTGTTCAGTGGCATAAATGGAGGGCCTCATTTGTTCCAAATGGGTTCATTTCTGATTCCGAAGTAAGTGATGCATTGGAAGACAGAAAGATTTTTTTGCAGGGTTTGTCTAAGGATGGATACCCATTGATGATTGTGAAAGCAAGCAAGCATTTTCCTTCTAAGGATCATCTCCAATTCAAGAGTAACTCGCTATTTCTATAACCTCATTATTTTCTTTAGTTTGTGCGCCTGTAAGTTTCTTCCGTTTTAGTCTTTTAATTATTTTCTTCTTGATTCAGTGATGCCTTTTGATCTAAAACTGTCCCTTTGTGTACCATCTTTAAAATGCACTAAAAGATAAGTTCAAACATAAAAGCTTTACTGAGTTGGAAAAGATGACTTTTGAATGTTGGCTGGGGTCTTTTGTTTTCTCATCGGCTGTAAGTATATACTGTCAAAAGGCAATAATATAGCTCGCCAGAACTGTGGTGAAAGTGGGTTTTGCTCCAGGCAACACTGTTTGTTGGTCACAGTTTTCGAAGTTACAACAGGAAGGGCAGATCTTCGACTTTTTATTTTTATTTTTCTCTTAACATATATCCACTAAGACTTTGTCAACTGGATGGTGGGAACTGATAGGTTTAAACCCCACAACCGCTGCAATTATTTGATTTAGAATCCACTACAGTAATAAATATTGTGGACCAGTAGAGAAAGTCAAGCATGAATAATAGAAAGAAAATATTGGATGCAAATCGAAATTTTAACTTTTCTTTTCATGACAAGTCATTGGTGAGTTATTGATTCACTTTTGTTCTTCTCTTGTTGCAGAATTTGTGGTTCATCTGCTTGACAAAACAATTGCAAGGTACCTCTCAATTTAACTAACATTGATGTCTCTTCAAAACATAACTAAAGTAACCTTTTAATGAGGTGCTTGAAAGGCATGATTGATGAAGCAAGAATGCCTGTCATACTCAGGATTATGATTCTTTAGAGCCAGTATATGATAGCGATTGTCATAGAAATGTTGTCAATGCTCCTTTTTGTCCGAGTATTGTCTTTTAAAATAGTATACATGTTCCTGCAATGCCAGTGTGGTCAAATTGTTGATAGGAGGATTCGATGTTAGGCGAGATGTGAAATTTATGTCAGAAATATTTATAAGTGATCTACTAGATGAGAAAATTTGTTGCTCTAAACCTGAAAATCCATTGACGGATGGAAGCACTGTTAATTTTAATTGATGTATCTTTGTTTTGCTTGTCTAGCTCTTTCAGAGGACGAGAAATTGGAAATGAAAAGTTGATCGGCATTCTTGATTTGCAACAAATTTCATACAAAAATGTTGATGCACGTGGATTAATCACTGGATTTCAATTTCTACAGGTGACTCTAATACTTTTCTTTTCTAGAATTTAGTGTGGGAAAACCTTTTAAGAGGCAGAGAACAAGAATAGTTTAAAAGGAAATAGTCAGGAAAGCATGGTGATGGTTTACTTATATGATTTTTCCTGTCAAACTTGCACAGATATTTAAAGGGTGCTACAGCTGCATGCATAGTGCAGTGTACAATCCTAATAAGTGAACTATACATGTTCAAGCAATTGTATCCAATAACTTCAGAGTTCTTTTGATACATTTTGCGCTTCTATTTTCCTGCTGCTAAGCTTCTCAATAAACTGATGTAGCTGTCATCTTGCTTTTTTATCTTCTTACAAACTGTCGACTATGCATAACCTTAAATGTCCACTTCAAAATTCTGGTGCAAATGTGATTAGAATCCCTCCATGAAGATTAAGACGCTATTTTGGGTAGGGAGCCAAACCTGTGTGTGTTGTAAGAATCCCCTGGTCTGCGGAGCGAATTTTTTTGGCTATACAATAAATGTTACTTAATTGCTTAAAATTTGTGCAGTCTTACTACCCTGAGCGGTTAGCAAAGTGCTTCATCTTAAACATGCCCTGGTTCTTTGTAAGTGTCTGGAGGATGGTTTCTCGCTTCCTTGAGAAGGCAACAGCAGAAAAGGTATGTTTTACTGCCATGGTTCTCCATAATGTTAAAGCATTTGAAGTAGTTATCTAAGTTTGTGATCGTGACTGCAGATTGTAATTGTGAGCAATGAGGATGAAACAAAAAACTTCATAAAGGAAGTTGGTGAAGAAACCTTGCCAGAAGAGTATGGTGGACGAGCAAAGCTTGTACCTCTCCAAGATGTTGTACTGGCACCAATGGAGGATTGACTCTACAAATAAATCGGGCCGCTCTAGCAGTCCTATCTATCTTCGAGGCAGACTCGGAAACCGTTAATCCGTTATACCTGTCGACAAGACAAAGATAACCGGTGTTAGGCAGTTTCAGCCTGGTTCTCCTTGTGACGAGTAGCAATTAGTGGTACATGTATGAGGGTAGGGCTTCCTTCTCATACTCTCATGTTCATGTAATACAACAACGAAAGGTACTCCGTGTAAAAGATAATATTTGAGCTTAAATATTTCTTGTTAACCTGTTATGTTTACTTGAAGGCTGATGCTTCTGTCCAAAATTCAAAATGAATGAGGACATTGGAGCAATTGAAGTATTTAATGATCATGGTACTCTGGGTTCCTTGTCAAACTTTTCTTTCTCTGTTTCTTTGATTTATTTTATTTTTATTTTTTGGCTTTTAACATTGCACCCACTCCACACTTGACAACCAACTCTGACCGGCGCATATACAAGGAAGGAGGACATTCTGTTCAGGCTATGACATTACTGATATTTTTCTCAAAAACAGTCGTCCAATATATAAGCAAACACACAGCTATGAAATGAAAAAAGATTTGATTTTATTGCTGAAGCGTAACTGACCCAAAAAGAAAAGGAAAAGGAAAAGGCATGAAGAAATCTATTTTTAGCTTGACCGTTAAACTAATTTATTATAGTAAAGAAGTAAACTGAATCCTGTGTGCATATACCACGTGCTGTTTCAACTGCGACAGGACACCGTATATATTAGGAAGAAGGGGTTTAAGTGAACACAACAAAACTCAAAACCCCACTCCGCCGCCACAACTCTCTCCTCTGTTACACAACAAAACTCAAAAATCCTAGTCCGCCGCCACTAGTCGTCTCAAAATGGCCACTTTTACTCACCACCACCACGGTGCCCTTCTCAAGACACCCCTCTCCGGCCGGACTCGGATCCCCGGATCCAAGTCCAGGCCCGGCCCATTTAGAGTCCGAATGTCTCTGCAAGAGACCGGCCCTTCGTTGGCGGTGGTCGGCGTCACCGGCGCAGTGGGTCAGGAGTTCCTGTCGGTCCTCCAAGACCGTGACTTCCCTTTCCGTTCAATCAAGATGCTCGCCTCCAAGCGCTCCGCGGGTCAGAATTTGAACTTCCTGGGTCAAAACTACGTCGTTGAGGAGCTCACCCGCGACAGCTTTGACGACGTCGACATCGCTCTCTTCAGCGCCGGTGGGTCAATAAGTAAAGAGTTTGGTCCCCTTGCCGTAGAGCGTGGCACCATTGTCGTTGATAATAGCTCCGCTTTTCGTATGCAAGAAGGCGTGCCGCTTGTGGTCCCTGAAGTCAATCCGGAGGCTATGGAGGGAATTAAGGTTGGGAGGGGAAAGGGCGCGCTCATTGCGAACCCTAATTGCTCCACCATTATTTGTTTAATGGCTGCTACCCCTCTCCATCGCCATTCTAAGGTTGGCAATTGTTTGGCTTTTTGTGATTTTGGTACTTGTTTTGGAATGGGTTTTTTCTTGGATTTGGTTTTTTAACTTTTAATTGGTTGCTTTGTCATTGTACTTGGATTTTGTTGAACTTTTTGTTGGAGCTACAAAGTTGGTTGCTTTGGTGTTAAATTAGAATTTTGGAATGTGACTTCTGTGTTGGGATTTTGTGCAAATACTGGTGTTACATTGGGTTATGGATGGTTTTGCAGGTATTACGTATGGTGGTTAGTACGTATCAGGCTGCTAGTGGAGCTGGTGCTGCTGCCATGAGAGAACTTGAGCAGCAAACTCATGAGGTTTCTTCTACTTGTTCTCTTTCGTTGTCTTGGTTGCCTTTTTTATATTGGGTTTTATCTTTGAAGTAATGCAATTTAATTTCTGTATTAAGGTCCTGGAAGGGAAGCCACCAACTTGTAAGATATTTCAGCGGCAGGTCTGTCTATTTGTTGCGAATTTTTCAAGCTTGTTGTGGAAATTTAAATTTGTTTTCCATGAAGCACCACTGAACAATCCATTTGCCTTCACTTTTTGCAGTATGCTTTTAATTTGTTTTCACACAATTCGGCAGTTCTTCCAAATGGATATAATGAAGAGGAAATGAAATTAGTCAAGGAGACACGAAAAATATGGGTTAGTTTCTTTAGTAGTTTTCTTATCAGTCAGAGTAATTTGATTGGAAGTCAGCTTGTAAGTATGAAGATGTTAATGTTATAGGGATATATAAGATTTATTCTTTGTTCATTGCTTCAGAATGACACCGATGTCAAGGTAACTGCCACATGTGTACGAGTTCCTGTCATGCGGGCACATGCTGAGAGTATAAATCTTCAATTTGAGAACCCCCTTGATGAGGTAATACTACAATGCTGTCATATTATGTAGCTTTAAGTCAATGGTGAAATTTCCCTTTTCTCAATAGTTCTTGTTTTGGTGGAGGCATTGATGATTTTTCACTTTGTACATCTTGAGTTTTTCATTTGCATGGCGATTCTTTTATATTTCTTGGGATTTTGAACAATTCTTTTATCCTATTTATAATGGTTTGATCAGGTGAACTTATGTGACTGTGCTTTCATTCTCTCTCCAACTTCTTCCCTGCACATAAGTACTCTGGTGTAGCATTTGGTTTCGCTCGACTTCTATATTTACCTATCTACATAGAAAAACATTGTTGAAGGTGTAAAATGCATATGTGACATTTTATCCCTGTGTACTGGTCATATGTGCATGCCTTTTGGAACTCGGGGCCAAGCCTCATTGAGATAAAGTGATTTTTGCTGAATTCTCTAATGGTCGAGTGATTCTTTGGCAAGTTCTCCTTTGAATTTTAAATTTGTTCTCCGTCTAGGACACCGCAAGGGATATTCTGAAGAAAGCTCCTGGGTTGGTGATTATTGATGACCGGACATCTAATAACTTCCCTACACCATTGGAGGTGTCAAACAAAGATGATGTTGCAGTAGGCAGAATCCGTCGCGATGTATCCCAAGAGGGGAACTATGGGTAAGACTACTGGTACAGATTTTTCTTTCTTACTGTATATATTTTAACAAGCCACTAATGGCATTCTTTAAGCAGGTTGGACATCTTTGTCTGTGGTGATCAAATACGCAAGGGAGCTGCACTTAATGCTGTTCAGATTGCTGAGATGTTGCTATAGTTGAACTTTAATTCCAACCGTGAAACAGGTTTCACAGTATAAATCTATTTGCGAGAAGAGATGAAGTGATTTGAGTTGATTCTACTTTAATCTGCAGATGTGGACACGAGATGAGCTCCAGCAAATTCAAGCTGTTTTTGTAGAATAAGATATTAGGCTTATTAGTAATTATTCTAATTTTTATAAAACAATGTCATTCTCAAGTTCAAATGTTAGCATAATATCCTTCCATTTTGAGGGGAGTTTTGTTATAATAATGTTGTATTTAAAGAGAACAAATTGTGTGTGCGCTGTTCCAAATGTTGTATGCCAAAAGAATTTCACTCTCTTGCTTTCTTGAAGTCACAAACTAGTGTAGATTTAATTAGCAAGGGAAGTTTTCAGGTTTTTGGAATTCAATTGGCTTCTGATAGGCTGCAGATATAAACGCCTTAAATCACCAGCTTAGTTGATCATGAATAATTTAGATAAAGAAGTTTGTGACATGAGAAGCTCACTCATATGAAAGCACTTGCTAGATGGTTAACAATTTGTTCAATATTCATATGGATTAATTGTCCAAATTTCGCAACCCATTTAACAGTTTTCTTCCCAAATGCTGCATGAAAAAAAAGAGGCCTACTAACTAGGATGGTGAGTAGTTGATGGCTCCATATAACTCCTTTTGGAGCAAGTTCCATCTTTCCAAAAAGTACCCTAAAATAATCTAGTCTATTAGTGCTTTTAGACAAAGCACTTATTCTAATTCATCCTCACTCAGTCTCAAGTATATGCTCTCTCCTTCTCCGGTCCAAAACCTTGCTCAGCAAGGGGCAAAGTTCCCCAGCCCATTTCCCTTGTGAGATTCTAGAACATTCTTTGCCAAAACTTCTCATAAGGACTAGCACATCATGATTGGTTCAAAACTTCAAGAAGGTTATTGGCAAATATTATACTTTAATTTAAGAACAAAAATTGCAAATGCAATTTTAAAACAGTCCCAACTAGGATGGTGAGTGGTGGATCATGGATGGCACCATCTAACCCCTTTCCGAGCAAGTTCTATATTTCAAAAACTACTCCATATACTCTATTCTATTGATACATTACTGTTTCTAACCTTGCTCATCAAGGGGTAAGGACAAATATTCCCAATCATGGAGAGTATAGGTGCCCACTGCCAATTGGCAATGTGAGATTGTAGAATATTCTTAGCAAAGACTTCTCCCAAGGACTAAGACCTTATGTCTGGTCCGGAAAAAAACTTCCAGAAGGTTCTTGGCCAAATGTTCAATTTCATTTTAACTAGCAGCTTGATTCACCATCCTTAAGCTAAATTAAGTGTTACCACCATAACACAAATTTGATTTATGAACTTCTAAGTACACTTAATCTCAAAAGTTTCTTTAATGCAAACGTTGTACACCTATATGAACAACATTATTGACTATCTTATAAAGCTAAAACTTACACGAAACATGGCGTATCTTATATGTCTCTCCTCACGTGATGTCAGATTACAAGAGAGACAAACATTTTAGTCATAAAGACGAAATAAAATTCAAATCAGTAGTGAAAAAAATATTTGTCAATATTATGTAGCATTAGTTGTCTATCATGATATTGCCACGTGTCACAATACAATTTGATACCTTGCCCTTTTGAAAATAGTGGCTCCTCGCCGCGTAATCTTCGCATTAGGATGTTATGGCATTGCTGCGAAGCAGGGGATCGCGGCAGTCGTTATTCTCCTCATTGGCGCCAATAGGACAACTGCCATGACAAGGTTTTTTTCTTCTTCGCTGCTAAAACTGCCATGCCAAGTTCGAAATTTTTATTCCCTGCTACAACTGCCATGGCAAGTTATGTACAGTGTGCTTGTTTTCCCCATATATATAGTGTTATCATGAGCTTTGCTTCTTACACAGCAGCCTTTGGTCGTATCTCAGTATCTCAGTACTTACATTCCAAAAATTCGAGGTCAGACTTTTTTCTCATTTGCATTTGCTTGAAAATTGAAATGCCAGGCCCTTGCTTTCTGTTCTGCATTCTGTTTACTTAATTTTTTTGAGCTCAGTTATTTACTCTGGAGAATTGGTTTTTCTTTCTGCTTTATTTATATCAATTTGTACGTTGAATCTGCAGCAGTTGCCATCAACATTACGAAAATGGTTAAGACAATTCAATTGTATGGATTTTCCTCCAGCGAGTCTCCAGCAGCAGTGACAAAATTTCTGGAGGCATATACTGGAAAAGGAACTGTTCATTCTATAAAGTTTCTTCCTCCCAAAGATGGAAACTCAAGAACACTCGCCATAGTTCAGTTCACAGATGCAAAATTTGCTGGTATCATAATTCCATTAGCCGATGCTCGAAGCCTGTGGTACAATAAATCTTATCTGAAAGCTAGAAAAGCGAAGTTTGACATGGTGCCCAACTCAGAAATCTTTGAGCACTGCATGGAACTTGTACAACTTCACTTGGGATGCCTGATTTCTGAGGGACAGTTTTCTGTGCTTTGGACAGCATTGGATGTTTCAGTGAAATTCGGGAAGGAATTTAAAAAGATCTACTTATTGTTATCTCTTGATGCTGTTGAATACAAGCTAGAGATCTCCTCTGAAAGTATTCGCCAGATTGAGCTACATCATCCACGTGGCGAACTTCCAAACTTTCTTCTAATCCAGGTTTGCCAGTTAAACTACAGAATTTGTGAATCATGACTTTGCATTTTGCCATGAAATATACAAATTTTAAATATTAAATTTAGCAAGTGATCGAAGTTCATAAGTTGATTAATATGTAAACTTAAGTCATCCGCATCAAGAAGCATGAAACCGTGGCATTTAGCTCTGTTTAATATGAGATCATTCTTCAAAAGCAACAACAATTAAACATTGTCAAGGTTGACCATTTACCAATTGCAGTAGATACTTGAATAAGATGTTTTCCATTCGCTAGTTCTTACATGATAATCTGATCTCATGTCAAATTTCTCAAACACTATAACTTCATTGTTTCGGCGCATTCCTTGTAGCATAGCAGAATTACTATATTATGTCTGGAACTTGGGGCAAATGACTAACATTGTGCTCCTCCTTTCTTCTTTTTCTTGCCAGTTACTTGGTGCCCCTTGGATTTTCAAGAAAGCTTCTCAAAATGGTTGGGTTCGAGAAGTTGATTTCACTCCTTCACGCTGCATTGGGCAATCTTCTGTTGTATGTTTGGAGCTTCCACCTACTTGTGAGCTTCCAAATTTACGCAAGAGTTATGCTCATTATAAAGAAAATGAAGGGCAGTTGGTTCTGGAGAGAGGCAACACTTTCTCCTGTACTTCAGATCTGGTTCCTATTGTGGGTCCACCCCTTGGCATTAACTTGCCATACAAAATCCTTTTTAAGATCAATTCCTTGGTTCAGCATGGATGTGTTCCTGGGCAAGCACTTGATGTTAAGTTTTATGAGCTAGTGGATCCTAGCATAATAAGAATTGAATATATAGAGTGTGCCCTGGACAAGCTGTTTCGGTTAAAAGGGTGCTGCTATGAGCCTGTGAGTTGGCTTACTGAGCAGTACAAAGAGTACATGGCATGCAAGCGAATTCCTCAGTCGCCAGCTATTTCTTTAGATGATGGGATGGTGTATGTGCACAGGGTTCAAGTAACACCATCTAAAGTTTATTTCTGTGGTCCAGAGGCAAATCTATCCAATCGTGTTCTACGAAATTATCCTGAAGATGTTGATAATTTCCTTCGTGTTTCTTTCGTGGATGAGGACATGGGTAAGATGCGTTCAGGAGATTTATGTCCACGGGCAAATTCTGCAACTTCTACAGAAGAGGAAAGGAGAACTAGAGTTTATGAAAGGATACTTTCTACTCTAAGAAATGGCATAGTCATTGGTGAAAAGAAGTTTGAGTTTCTTGCCCATTCGTCGAGTCAATTACGAGAGCATTCTGTGTGGATGTTTGCTTCTAGAAGTGAGTTGAGTGCACAAGACATCAGAAATTGGATGGGTGATTTTAGTGACATAACAAATGTAGCAAAATACGCTGCCAGGTTGGGTCAGGCTTTCAGCTCTTCAAGGGAGACTTTTGATGTTGGTAGGGATGAAATTGAATTCATTCCTGATGTAAAAACTGAAAGAGATGGAGTCAAATATTGTTTCTCTGATGGAATTGGGAAGATATCTGCTGAGTTTGCTGGAAGCGTGGCAAGCAAGTGCGGCAAAAGTACTACTCCATCCGCCTTTCAAATTCGACTCGGTGGCTATAAAGGTGTTGTGGCAGTTGATCCTACAATGTCAGAGAAGTTGGCACTGCGAGATAGCATGTGCAAGTACCAATCCAACAACACAAAACTCGATGTTCTGGCATGGAGCAGGTACCAACCTTGTTTCCTTAATCGTCAACTGATCACCCTTTTGTCCACCCTCGGAGTCCCCGATCTTGTTTTCGTGAAAAAGCAAAACGAGGCTTTGAAACAATTGGAAGGTGTTTTGGCTGACCCATCAAGAGCACTGGAAGCACTTGAAATGATATTCCAAGGAGAGGTCACCGACGTTTTAAAGGAAATGCTTGCGTGTGGTTATAAGCCAGATGCAGAACCATTTCTGTCATTGATGCTACAAGCATTCTGTGCATCCAAGCTTGTGGAGTTGCGGACCAAGACGAGGATATTTGTTCCAAATGGAAGATCCTTGATGGGATGCCTAGATGAAACCGGGACACTGGAATATGGCCAGGTATTTGTGCAGTGTTCTCAACGTGCCTTCTTCGGTGGCAATAGCAATAGCAGCGCTACTTCAAGCGAAGACAATTTCATTGTTGAGGGAAACGTAGTGGTTGCTAAAAACCCCTGTTTACATCCGGGAGATGTTCGTGTTCTTAGGGCTGTGAACGTGCCCGCCTTGCACCACATGGTGGATTGTGTAGTCTTCCCTAAAAAAGGAAACAGGTTACTGACTTTGTCAAATCTTTTAGTTGTTGAAATTTTAAATTTGTTTCAGATTGCACCTGCAAGA